CTTAAGCTTCAAAGTTAACGTTTTTATCGGGCTTTATGTATTGTTTTCTGTTTATATGCGCTATCCGCGGACATTTCTTCTGTAACCAGATCGTCCTTCCCATAGATGTTTATAGAGGTTTATACTCCTCTGTCACTACATATTTAGGCCTACTCTTCAAGCAAAGGGTAAGTCTGTTTTGGACGTTACTTAAGCTTCTTTTTACCGCCTTATATTTTCATTTGCGTTTGTCTGTCTGTCTGTTGGTCAACAAGATAACTCAAGAACGGCTGGATGGATTGGTTTCATACTTGGTGCGTTGGTAGGGAGTGACAAAAACTGGAAATGATGGGATCTTGGGACCCCTAGAGGCTTCCCTTGGTACTGCAGCGCTACGGTTTTGATACCTTGGTATCTGTTTTTCTTTTTAAACATTTTATCGGGCTTTCTGTCTTGTTAGTTCTCTTGGTGTCCGGCTAGTAAAGACAGGTGCAGGGTGATGACACCATAGCTAGGAACAACATGTTTATTTTCTTCATCCATGCCGCCCTTGTCCCCATTTGAGGCTGACCCCACCATACTCTGTTACACCAAAGATGTCCCCATATGTCCTATATGAATCCTTGGATCTGTGCACGATATTCTGTTACATGTTTGTCCGTCTGGGTCTACGTAATGCGCGCTCACAGCAATAACATGGTATAATCTCCAAGCCGATGCATGGCGGCGACATGGTTCTGTGCGGTTTTCATCATTGGACGTTTTGCTTGTGTCTTCTCCGTGGTATAAGAAGATAGGAGTATCCACCAGACTTAGCCTCTACCAGCCCTAGGAAGGCGGCTGGAAAGAGTAGAAATTGGCCAAATAGAGAGATAACATGCCGGGGGAGTTGGTCCGCTAGAGAGTACAGTTTGCCGCACAGTGTACTTTCTAGCGGATCCGGACCAACTCCCCTAGCATGCTATCTCTCTCTATTTGGCCAATATCTACTCTTTCCAGCCTCTTCCCGAAGCCTGGTAGAGGCTACACCAGACTAACAACACGGACTGAGGGAGAATAATTTGCCATGGGAGTTAAATTTGGCCACCATAGAGTTCATTAGCCCGCGAAGTTGTCAGGAAATGTTACCCTTACCGGAGCTCACTCCCCTGGCCAATTACTGGCCCTGTTTTTGCCGAATTCTACTGTCCATAACCCCTTTTTAATAGGATGGCCTGGTGGAAGCTAATTAAAAGAAGCGCAATGGATATTAAAAGACAGACAACTAGCCTAGAAAACGTAGACATCGAGGGAATTGGGTTATCCAACCCAGAAGTTGTGTGAAAGGAATTTGTATCAAATAGTTCCCTGTCGGAGTTTTGAGTCATTAGATATACTGTAGGCATAATCAAAGGTGGCAAATCCCCTGATCATATATTTTTACTGTGTCTTTAAAGTGCATATGACACATGGAAACGACCTTTCTTTGTTAATTCTGATATACGTTATATTTTCGAGTTGAAAACATTGTTACGATAAGTATGCACGGTTCTCCTGTTATTTTCGATATTTATATGTATTTTACAGACTTTTCCAGGTGCCATATAAATGTTATTTATAAAAGCCTATTAGAATTGTTGGATATTGGCAATACTTCAACTTCTAACTATGTACAAGTTGCTATATATTGTAACGTTAACGTTACCTAAATACAATTGTCGTGCAATAAAGTTCTTCTTCCTCTATGCATTTTTCCGTTGAACTTATATGTAGAATCTTGATAGACTCATACCAGCCAGTAATATTATTATTACCTGCCATACATTGTACCTGTTACAATCGTTGTGCAATAAACGTTGACTTGACTTGACTATATTACAACTACAAGTTGTATAGCTTCATAACGTTACATGTATCCTCTGGGCGTCATATCATATGTACTAGCTATGGTGCTTACAGCAATAATGATAAACAAGCCAATTATACGATGCATTCTTGGAAAAACACTGGGTGTAAGAAAATACCAGAGTTCTGAGGAAAGGCGCCGTATATTTAGCAACCTGCGTATATACGTAACTTGATATCAAATGTCCTTCATATATTTCTGGCCAATGAGGGACCTTGGACTTGTCGATTACAATTTAGGGGAGTCCAATGTAGTCATAAAAGTCAGCGTTAATGCTTAAATCAATACTATTTTATTTTACCTGTATCTTAAATATTATACTTTATAAATTTTAAGTATATACAAATTGATTTTTGGGGAATAAAGCAACTTTTTATTTGTTCATTGAGCGGCTAATATTCTTAAAATTACACCCCTAATTTGGATATTGGTATAGCCTAAGCCCTTAGATTTCCCACCATCCCTTGCCGTCTGCCAGTTTTGGCGGGCGACCATCGTAGGTAGACTTTCTGACAGAGAAGGACCAAAAATCGTCTGATTTTCTCACATTCCCCGCAGCATGGCCGACTACCTGATCAGCGGAGGGACCGGGTACGTCCCTGACGACGGGATGACCGCATCGCAGCTTTTCGGGACCGGGGAAGGCCTGACTTACAAGTGAGTAGAAAATTAAAAAATTCATAAACCACCGTTGCGCAACCGACCACCAGCGGCTCGCAGGCAGTTGCACAAGTCCCCCGTAGTGCTGATAGGTGTATCAGAAGTGCTAGGCAGCGGTGCTGAAGTTGGCCCCATGGCACGGGAAAACACCATGCGTTAGAAGAATGCCAAGAATTTTCATACATGCGTAGCAACTAGCAAGTCTTGGTTTATGTAACGTGGTTGGTTTGGAAAGTATAGATCAGAACATTATTATATTTATCGATGGACTACGTTATACTTCTATGATTCTACCATCCTTCAGTGCTGTGTATCTCTTTTCTGTACAGTACAGATATCCCCCCCTCCCATGGCCACCCCCCCATTTGAATGTTCAAAATTTGCAAGTTCCATGCGCAAAATCTATGGCAAAATCGAGCAAAGGGGTTAGGTGAGGACTTGAAATTTCAATTATCAAGAAAGACCATGGCAAGTGAAATCTCACATAACGATGAGGTGGCTCTAATCTTTACTATATAATAAAATAGTATTAAAGTGTAAAATTATAATGGAAGTTGAATTATCATTTTAAGTTTAAGGTATATGAATGAACACGTACAGATAGAACTATGGAAAAATCCTAGCAGCCACATGTCCGAATCTCGTATCTTCCATCCCAGCATGTGGCATCGCACGTTTAGCCTGACCCCGTCTGACACAGTCGTCCCCAAATCAGGTTGATGAACGCAGGGCTATTTTTAGTCTGGCCTGGGGGGTAGAGAGGCTAGCATGAGGGGTCCTCGCTATACTTTATGGGGGTCTGCAAGCCCTTTTCCGTAGAGCGTAATCAGCCATTGTCATTCTATGTAGAGCGTAGACGGACCGCTCTAATTCAACGTAGAGCGTAATTGGCGCATTTTGCGTAGAGCGTATTTGCCATTTGAATTTTACGTAATGTGTTGTAGCCACTTGGAATTTACCGTAAAGCGTAATCAAGAGCTCTCATGATTTAGCGTAGAGCATTGTTGGGACCCCCCCCCCCAAGACAGGCCCCCTTTATGGTAATCAGGAAGCCAATCCAGTTCAGATCTTTCCTATATGTTATTCAAATTTCCCGAATACACTCTGAAAGTTTGAGTTGAGTTAGGGCAGTTGCTTGCAAGTTAATAACGTAGAATTGAAACTGATTACGCTGTGTAAAAAACGGCATGTAGACCCTCTAGCGTAGCACATAGCATTGGCCTCACCCAGGAGTCAGAATACCCCAGGCCAGTTATATATAGAACTACAGCTGATTGTGAAATAACTGGCCTCGTGAAGTCAGCAAGGATGCGATACAGGCCTGCATTCATGTCTCCACATATAGGTTAACATCACTGATTATATAACAGTTGCTAGCTTGGTGTACGTGAGCTCAAAATCTATGGCTGTACAAGTTTACTCGCAGACATTTGTATTGCTAGTAGTACTCTCATTCTAGTGTATAAAGAGCAAGGACAATTTACATTGCACTTCTAGAGTCATTATGTTACAGTCAAAATAGTCCCACATTATGTTTCAAATTTTCACCTCTGAAATATATAACAGATACATGTATTATAATATAGCATTAAGTTTGGGTAATTAGCCACAGTAATTAACCTTATTAAAGAAATCTCTTGTTTCTATTTTTTTTCCAGTGATTTCCTCATCCTGCCTGGGTTCATAGACTTCACAGCAGAGGAAGTGGTGAGTTACAGAAAATGTTGTCTGCATTTTATATGGTTTATCTTAAGACAAATATTGTAAGTAAATAGATAGAAATACTATACAATTACAACTTAGTACAAGATTGAACTTGTTTGAAGCACTTCTCTAGTACAAATATCAAAAAGAATTTTGTAACACAGTGAATGATCCTAAATTCTAAATGCAATAACATAGCCAGAATTTATCACTTGTTGACGTTGTTCAGAATCAAATGTGTTTATGCTCAAATGCAGTGTGTTTTTAATGACAGTTGCTTTGTGATGAAAGCACAATGGTGTGTTGACATTTAGTCTGGATAGTGTTATAGGATCAACAATGATGTGTATCATTGTGTCAGCATTTGTTAGGGTTGCATTAGATTTAAACGTTAGATTTTTTGTTATCTATTCTCTGATAAATGAATCTGTTAGTTCATTAGTTTGAGTTTGTCACAGAATGACTCTTATGTTATGTTACCTCCACCTGTTCTGTTGACAACAGCAAGATCTCCAATTGCCAGTGTGTGGTTCACAGGTACCTCTAAGTGTGAAGGATATCATAGAACGTGACCGTGCCCCCCTCCCCACCCCATTGAGAAAGCTCTCTGACCTTGACCTTAAGAATGCCCCCTATCCTCCCAAGTCCTCCCTGACATTTGAGCCAGATGTGCAGTGTAGATAGAGCTGCTATGAAGCAGTGTTTCCTAGTAGAAAGCAGATTTAGTATTTCATATTCTCTTAAGGTAACACACAACCCTTAAGCTTATTCTGTGCTCTATTGTACTTTCTTCTACTCTTAACTGTAAAAATGTGCTCTGTGGTGCATGTACATACTCCAATCCAATCTCCAAGCTGATCCAAGGTGGTATCTTCCAGTCCCCCCAATGCAATATAATGTGCCAAAGTCCTTTTGTTTTGTTCCCTACACAAGTTGTATCCATGTATGTCATAACATTGTAGAGATTTGTTGCATGTAGTAGTAAGTAGTTGATTGGTAAATGTGTTTTGCCTGAACTTGAATGTGACATATCTCTGTATCTTTTGATATCTTTGTCTTCTTTATGCTCCTCTAATCTATACCTCAATACGTCTTTGTGGTCCTGTAGACTTTCTGAATAAACTAGCCTAGTTTAATCCTGTATAGAAAGAACTATTACATGATTTGTAGTAACCATTGCCTATTGTATAAAAAGCATGTAACAACACAAATGACTCACCATCTATTAGGTCGTGATGCGTCGATTACTGATGCATTTCAACAGAAATGTTTGTAACCTGTAGGAAAGAAAAGAACAATAATGTAGTAGATGACGTATTCTTCCATACTAATCATACATACTGATGTACATTGTACCGGTAGTTCACATTCTGTTTCTCTTTTTGCTACCAGATGTGTAACACTACTTCAGCTCATGCTTGCATGATATCATGTACTAGTATATTCCATGTATCTCTGTTGTTTTTCTCCACACTGACACTGACACCCTCCCCCTTCTGCTGTTGCGTGGTTGTACACATACAGAGAGTGGCCACTAACGCTCCGAGTATCCTCGCGAGTATTGAATCCCCCTGCACTCCTAACTGTCCGGTGCACACGGAGGTACGGCTTGCTGTCAATCAACCCCCCGTCCTGTCAATCAGTGTCACTCTCCTCACTGTGCACTTGTCATCGTGACTTCGTGATAGAACACGCTGTTCCAGAAAGTTTGGCCAGGAGAAATAATTGTTCGAGACTATCAGTCTCCAGTATTGCTAGTCGTCCTCAGTGGTTGCAATTCTCTGAAACCAGAGCATAATCTTGAGGTGGCAAATTCCGAAATACCGTATGTACCAACCAGCGAGGCCAATCAGATAAACATTACTACCTTGCCAAGTGGCTACAATTTTGCCACAGGAGGATCTTCTTCCAGAATAGATTTTGGTGTAAAATCCAACATTTATTATACATGTACTAGTAGTACTATGTTTACCTAACTCACCAACAATAACCAAGGGCGTTCTTTCTATAATTCTAACAGTTTTAAGCAGTGACATTGGATCATACTTTTGTATATCTACATTCACTCATACTACTATGTACTATGAGAGCAAACTTTAAGTGAACTTAGTAAAAATTTTGTTCTTTTATTAATTTAAACCCAGTTTTGGCAGCAGCTTTTCTGGAACAGCCCTCCCCGTGACCTCTAACCTCTGTGCTGTGCTGAGTCTGTGCAGACGTGTTGTATTTTGTATGGTTCAAATGTCTCCTGATTGACACAAACATTCAGAGCACAGCTGTGAATAGCTCACTGCTGGGTGGGCTGTTCCAGACCAGGCTGTGAAGTGTTTCTGTTTCCGACTGAATTTATGTACATATATATACTATACGGTATATGCAAACTTCCAAATTGTTGTGCAAGATTTTGCTGTCTGGGGTACCATGTACTCCCAGAGAGGGTATCAGCTGCCAGAGCCAGGTGCATCTTGGAATGTAGTTACCTGTTTCCATGGTGACAGGTTTGCTTTCAGAACATAATGATGGAGATGTAATGAGTTAGGTATGATGATGTAATGATTGAGACAGCAGTGATGATGATGAAACTAGGACACAGGAGTTTATTTAGCAGTTACAGGTGTGCTTAGTACGACTATCCAGTACAACAATATTAGATCTATTGTCAGATTATGTCTGCACCAGACATGAGTCTTTCCAGATATGCTGTACTAGGTTGTAATACGTCTAGTGGCCCGCCAAGTTGGAATCCAACATTTGCAGTTGTACTCTGTCCATATTGTGTTTGGAATTTGACAATTGCAAATAAACCATACTTCCGCATCATTGTAAATAACTGTACTTCCGCATAAATAGTTGATGCTGGTGACCTCAGCCTACTAATATCACATGTATCTGATCCTCATCTATTATTTAATGCTGATCATGTAGAAGTTACTAGAACACCAGTACCGGCTTATAGGTGTGGAGCGACTGGTAGCCGATCATGATGGTATCTTAAGTTTGTTTTGGCTGTCTTTACCAATTCACCTGGCTAACGTAGTTTGAGAATGTCGTCAGAATTAATGTTTCTGTTTTCAGCAGGATATTTGTTCCTCAGTGTAAAATATCAGGTTGGCAAGAGATTGTACAAGACAGTTCTTCATTCAACAATCAGCAGGTTTTCACAATCCAAAGTTTCAATGACCGTCTGTCACCTTCTTCGGGGCAACAATGACTGGTTCTGATTTGTACCGCAGCTAGCCTGAAGAAAGCGACACTCTACATCATGGAAACTTCGGATGTAAAAACCTACTGGTTGTGGAGTAAAGAACCTTCTTACACAGTCAGTGCCTACATTCTCGTATGTATAATGACAGTTATGTACAGTAGAGCTGTGCACAATGTATGGTGGATTGTCTTAAGTCTAATGCCACAGTAAACACGAAGAATCGTTGTGCCCCTCCAGGACTTAACTTCTGCGATGACAAAGAAGATCCAGCTGAAGGCTCCACTGGTCTCCTCCCCCATGGACACAGTGTCTGAGTCTGACATGGCCATCGCTATGGCTGTAAGTTCTGTACTGTACTTCTGTTGTCTTATAATATAACTCTCTGGAAACCAACACTACCGGTACATCTGTCCTCCCCCATGGACACGGTGTCAGAGTCTGACATGGCCATCGCTATGGCTGTAAGTTCTGTAATCCTGTTGTCAACATAACTTAATGTTTGTTGTAGCAAAAGTTCGCAGTCTGAGAAATATGGACATTTTCGCAGAACTAGACATTCACAGTGGTGGCAGGTACAGCAAAAAGAAAGTCGTCCAATTATTTGTTGCGGTAATGATCATTTTGCGGTACAGAAGTGACCGCGAAGCTGTGAATATAAAAGTACCACAAAGAAATCGTGATAACAGTATATTCTCTGGCAACCAACACTATCGGTACATCTGTCAACTTATCAAGTGATGCATGCTTTATGTTGGACACTTTTTTCTATATTTCTGTCGCAACTACACTAACTGAATAAGTTCAAACGATGTTCAATTATTTCGAATATCATTGTACATTGGTAAATGGCTAAATGTTTTTGTTTTATCACAGCTGACAGGAGGCATTGGCATCATCCACAGCAACTGTACTCCAGAGTTCCAGGCCAACGAGGTTAGAAAAGTCAAGGTGAGAGCAACGGGTTACTTGTAGGATGTGGTATACATGTTTTTGTAACTATAAGGTTGCCTGCAATGTGTATTGATGATGATGTAAAAATAAACGGTGTTGTAATACTGGAGTAAGTTGCATCATACATTCCTGCGATTAATAATAATCTATTATATGATGTATTCAATCTGGTATTTGATGATACTATGCAGTTTCAATTCATTCACAGGTACCCAAAACAGTTCATAAATATGAGACGGGTTTAAAGCTCTCTAGTGATAATGCCCCTACTGTGCTTCATGTTCCATTCTACCATGGTTCTAGGAAAGACAACTTTCTCTGTACTTTATCTTGACTTGATTGTTGAATTTTCTGTAGAAATACGAGCGAGCAAGATGAAGAGGAAACACGGCTTCTCCTGAGAGTAACAATCGCCGACCGTTAACAATCTTTACTGTTGATTTTCCTACAGAAATACGAGCAGGGTTTCATCATGGATCTGATCGTACTGAGTCCGGAGCGCACGGTGGGGGATGTGTGTGAGATGAAGAGGAAACACGGTTTCTCCTGAGAGTAGCAATCACCCACCGTTAAAAGTAGTTACTGTTGATTTCAGCAACCATTAACAGTTGTTACTGTTGATTTTCGTACAGAAATACGAGCAGGGTTTCATCATGGATCCGATAGTACTGAGTCCGGAGCACACGGAGGGGGATGTGTGTGAGATGAAGAGGAAACACGGGTTCTCCTGAGAGTAACAATCACCCACCGTTAACAGTAGTTACTGTTGATTTCACCCACCGTTAACAGTCTTTACTGATGATTTTCCTGCAGAAATACGAGCAGGGTTTCATCATGGATCCGATCGTACTGAGTCCGGAGCACACGGTGGGAGATGTGTGTGAGATGAAGAGGAAACATGGGTTCTCGGGAATCCCGATCACGGAGAATGGGAAGCTGGGAGGGAAGCTTCTCGGCATCGTGACCTCACGAGACATCGACTTCATGAACATCGACCATCATCACATCAAGCTCAGAGATGTGAGTCTTACGTATTTATTCACAGACTGAACTTGCTGTTGAAAGTCAGACATGTGTGATGCCGAAGACATTTTGAGCAGTGGATGTCAACTCAAAACATTCAGAAGTAATCTCTGTACATAATGTGTGCAGTAGTAGAGTATGAATGGTTCTTGAGAAATCTTGATGTTTTCTTGCTATGGTGAGGATTTTGTTATTGTCTAACAAACCCAAAGCTTTAGCATCACCTGGCATAATTGTCAGAGTGTTCAGCTGAGAAGAAAAATCTCCCAGACATGCCAAATCTTTGGGAAGCCACTTAACACGACTTCCCTCACTGTCTGGTGGAGTGATGCCCACCGGGCCTTTTGGCTAATCCTTGGTTTGATTCCTAACCTGATAAAAACACACATGGATTGGGTGTTGCCAATGTGCCAAGACCTGCTTCAGAGAACAGAAATGTGTTTATTTGACCCCCACAGGTGATGACTCCGTTTGAAGAACTGGTTGTGGGACATGCAGGAGTTTCACTAAAGGAGGCAAATGAGACGTTACAGAGGAGCAAGAAAGGTGAGGACAGGTGTCAGTATAGGGGTTACTGTTACTTCCAATGCACTGTTAGGCTCTGCTATTGTAAACAAAAATGGGGCTCTAGTTTACAAAAATGCATGGTCTTTTTTCCTGTGAAATGGTACATTTGTACTTGTACATGTAAACCAGGCTATCTTGTACAGGTGGCAGTTGCTCATATATAACTGTTGACTAGTTTTTTCAGTATTCCAGTGATGCCAAAGAGGAGACGACTGTCATCTAAAATGTCTGGAAGTAATGTCCGTAATTTATCCAGTTGTAGAGTTTGTCTTTGAGTATCCTTAATAACCTTACTTGCTTGTTTTCCCCCAGGAAAACTGCCGATAGTGAATGAAAACGACGAACTGGTGTCTCTAATCGCCAGGACAGACCTGAAGAAGAACAGAGACTACCCACTGGCATCGAAGGACTCCAAAAAGCAGCTTCTCTGTGGAGCGGCCATTGGTACCAGGGAGGAGGACAAGTACCGGGTCGAACTACTGGTACAGGCGGGGGTGGACCTGGTCGTGCTGGTGTGTGTTTGTTTATTTGTTTGTTTGATTATTTGTTGTGGTGTCTGTATGGTGTAGTGGTAGAGCATCCGACTGTCAGGCAAAGGGACCCAGGTTCAATCCCCAGGGTTGGACCGAGACATGTCCGGACATGGGTGCACCCAGACGTTGTGCCCTTGGGAAAGGCACTTAACACCCATTTCCCCCCTCAGTTAGAGGGATCCTGGGCCCTACTAAGGTTTGGGTTGCATGGTGTTAGGAAGGTTATCCAGCCATAAAATCTTGCTTCAAAAAGGACTTGTACTTGATGCAAGCCAGTCTAACCCCCAGTTAAGGGGAAAAATATGTTAAACTGGATAGAGGGAGATATTGTTTTTCTGCCAGGGTAGCACTCAAGTGACTGGGCACAGCTTTCAGAGTGGCCCTGGGTACAAATATACAAACAATTAAATCATACAACTTACAAGACATAAGGGAAGGGGATATTAAGTACAGGGTGGAACTATTATTGGTATGGGGTGGGGGTGGACCTGGTCATCCTAGAGTGTTAAAGTTTTTTATTAATTTTTTTTTCTTTTTGCCAGGTTGGCATCTCACCAACTGAGCACTGGTTTACAGAGAAGCCCTTGGTACATATAATGTAATGTTATATATAAAAGTTAGACAAGAAAAGTCAAAGAACAAAATGGTACATTGAATATCAAAATGGTTAATCCATAATTGCAATCGTATTCACCAGGTGGTAAGGGTTATTATGTACATGCCTAGGCACATAGCCTAACATTGCTAGCACTCTGCATTAGAACAGATTGAATAGCCAAAACAGTAGCCTGGTATCCAGTCTTACGTGATTGGGGGTATTGGGGTATTCGGGCAGGTTGTGCCTTCGGGGGCTCTAATAGCTTCCCCCGCCCAGTGCAACAGGCCGTCCCGGTAGGAGTGTTACGCTAATCAGAGACAGTATGCTTGGGAATTTGGTTCCCCCAATACGTGGAGGGCTAATCAATCTCTCGTGAAGTACACACCGGGAAACCTATGTGAGGCGGGCGGGACAGAGCTCTTTCGGCCCCGACCACGATCAGACTGGATATCAGGCTACCAAAAACAGTCCATTGCATGGCTATATTTTCGTGGATGCATCACCAGTCCCCTTGTGCAAAAAATGTACAGAGAAGTTGACTGTTTTTGCATCTTTTTCCCAGGACTCGTCACAAGGGAACTCCATTTACCAGATCAACATGATCCGCTACCTGAAACAGAAGTACTCAGAGCTGCAGGTTATAGGGGGAAACGGTGGGTCTTCGGAAACTTGTCTACAGATACATAACAGTACGGATGATCTTTATTATATAGAGGAGGTGCATCTGGTTGTGATCATAGCTTTTTTCAATGAGCTCACCACTTAAACTGTTGGTAGATATAAGGAAGAAAAGAAAGTGATCTCAATCCAGTTTTAGTTCAGACTGTCTTCTACTGGTTGTGCCAGAGAACACAGATGCTATGTACAGCATTTACAGGTTCATTGTCCCAGGGAAGTTAACTTAAGTACAATGAACAGTAGACCACGGCTTAACGTCCCATCCTTAGGACTGCGACCCTTTCCATGTATGTCGGTGAACAACAATCAACAGCCAGGATTCAAACTCCCAACCTCTTGGTCCAAGGGCAGGGTCACTAAACACTGGACTATTTATGAAAGCACACAAAAGTACTTCTAAAATTCTAAGATAGATCATAAAGTTGCTCCAAGAAAACATGTAAAATTCTGTTGTTGTTTTTCTCTTGTAAACTTAGTTCTAAGGGAGAGGAAGTTGCTCCAAGGAAACAGACAAAACTCTGTTGTTCTTCTCTTGTAAGACTTAGTTCTAAAGGAGAGGAAGTTGCTCCAAGAATACAGGCAAAACTCTGTTTCAACTTGTTTTCTTCTCTTGCAGTTGTGACAGCGGCGCAGGCCAAGAACCTGATAGATGCGGGGGTGGACGGGCTGCGTGTGGGGATGGGCAGTGGCTCCATCTGTATCACACAGGAAGGTGAGGGCAGAAACACCCCTCTGTAGCAATGGTTGCACCCATTTCAGCTGTGACATGTGAATAATGTGAATGTGTCTGCTTTTGCGATGGTGTTATTTTGGGGGTGAGAAAAAAAGAAGTTTTCAAAGTGTTTAAGTTTGCAGTAAAAACAATTGTGTAGTACAAACATAAAAACATAGTGGTACAAACATACAAAGTAAAAACATTGGCAAGGAACACTTTGTACAAATGTACCTGTGGAATGCATAAATCTTGTACTGGTTTTTAGTAAAGATTTAAAAATCCTTTGTGGCAGACTTAAAGCAAAGCACAAACACTGGAAGAAGAGGAATTTACAATTATTGACTGTGACTTGCAACTGCAGTCTGATCTACTGGGAAACATTTGTTTCTTTGGGATTCACTTGATTTTGTCCATATATGGTCCAAATGTCCATATTTGGGCACATGTTCAGATATGGTGCCATATATGGTGCACATGTCCATTTATGGGCACATATCCATATATGGTGCACATGTTCAAATATGGTGATGTCCATATATGGTGCACATGACCATATATGGTGCTCATGAGTTCTCTTTGCAGCTATGTTTGCTGACTCAATGGTAAAGCTGCAATAAGAGTTTGTAGGGATCAAATTTCTGAACAAAACTGATGTTCGATAAGTTAAACTTCAGACATCTTGCCTCTTGTGTTAGTCTTAGCATACTTTCCTAACCTAACACTTAAAGCAATATCTATGGGCAGCTTAACCAATGACAAGATTCTGACATGCTTTATTTGCTATTAGCTGATTGACTGTGCAATTGAGATAACTCACAGACCTACGTAGTTTTAGGGTTATGCTTTAACTGCGTGTGCCGGTTAAATTTGCAATGGTACAACATACGTTACCAGGACCTAACCTTGAGGCAAAATGTCTAGACATGCAGACACATTTTTATAAAAAAAAAACTTGAAAAGGATATCAAGACCAAGGAAAAATTTTGTCTGCCATTTTGGATGGTTTTGGGGGCCTGCGTTTAACGGGCTGTGGTTGTTACTGTGTGTACATTGCAGTGGTGGTGCCTCACGGCCAACCATCGCCCAGCCAGCCAGCAACCCTAGTTACAGGGAGAGCTCGTAAGTGGGGTGTGCTGTTAGATAGGAAAGCCCTGAAGTCTGCCCTTTTCAGTGGTTTTGGCAGCTCACCCACACATACATGAGTGTTTAGTGCGAGTCTGACTCACAGCATGCCATAATTCTACAGGGAACCAAGGCTTGCTGACACCAAAATGCTTGAAAGTTCATCTGTGTTGGTAGAAGACCAGAGAACACAAAAAATTAATCATGATCCACTGCTCACTTGGTCACAAGTCATGCTACATGTATGTGTCACAGAAGTGGTCAAAATAAAAAAAATTTGGGCTAGAGATATTTCTACTACTTGGTCCCCTGTTTCCAGAAAAGCTGCATCCTATATAATATCTCCTCTCACAGATCAGGAAGGATGATTGTGTTCTTTGCACGACATCTTATAAACCTAAACGAAATCATGTACATTTTAAACCAAGGATTCTCCCGTTCAACATGCGTTGGGTAGGCCATTGTATGACCATGTATGAAAAACTGTTTTAAACCTCAAGCCTTTTACTGGCTTACAGAGTTTTGCAGAGGATGTCATCCATATAATTATAGAATCAATACAAAATCATGGTGTGATATGGCATGTTGATTGAAGAGGACATCCCTTTTGCATGATTCAAGGAAAGACAAAAGAACTGAATTAAAAATTTTTATGTGTTTGGTACCTGTCCCCCCCCTGTAGTGATGGCAGTGGGTCGACCCCAGGGCACGGCGGTGTACAAGGTCGCGGAGTACGCGCGAAGGTTCGGAGTTCCGGTGATCGCTGACGGAGGGATTTCCACGGTGGGGCACATCACTAAGGCTCTGGCACTGGGAGCATCCACAGGTGAGATGTGTTCACCTGGTGACCGTGTACATGTACATGTATGTTACAGTAAGTGGGTATGTATGTGGGTTGTGTATGTGTGGTAAAGACTGAGGTTTGGAGTTCCGGTGATCGCAGACGGAGGGATTTCCACGGTGGGGCACATCACCAAGGCTCTGGCACTCGGCGCATCCACAGGTAATAATTTTTTACTTGGGCCTAGAAAAAAACTGTGTGTTTCCTGTTTCAGTCCTGAAAAATTAGGGTCGGTAGGTAGGGTTGCCTTTTTTAGACTTACATTGATATCTATATAGGGGCAACTTATACAATACAGTTTAACAAAGTAAAACTTTTGTGAGTACACTTATATTTTTAATGTCAATTTTAGAAAACCAATTATACAATGTTTTACCACTCAGGTGTCAGATAATGGAGCTAGAAAAGGTTGATCAGCTCGAAAATTCATGCCCCTTGCAGGGATCCACCCCCACAAAAGTATAGGGTCGGCAGGTTTTTCTAGGGTCGGTTGGGAAACAGGAAACACAACTTTTTTTCCCTTATCCTAAGATAAGTTGTAATTAATCTCCTAGTATGCTTGTCATTTAGCAGTAGATGTCATGCATTGCATCTCATTATTGACAATTGTTGTACAATAAAGTTTATTATTATCAGTACAATGTTTTGCCTTGTATGGTGATAGCAGAGGATTTCACGTTTTGACGTTAAACGTGTGTCTGTGTTTTCCAGTAATGATGGGTTCCCTGCTAGCCGGTACATCAGAGGCACCAGGAGAGTACTTTTTCCAGGACGGTGTTCGGCTGAAGAAGTACCGGGGCATGGGGTCACTCGAGGCCATGGAGAAGGGCAAGGCATCGCAGAACAGATACTTCAGGTGGGTTTTATGTATTTACATATTATGTCAGTGAAGGTTAGACATCGATGGTTCGATACGAAAAAAAAACAACAGCAACTGGAAAAATTTCCAAACTTCCCAAATCATGTTCAGTTGCTTGAGTAACTGTTTTTTGGCGTAAAACATGTGTTTTTGCTCTGTTTCTTCTTCCTCTTGTAATCTGGACAAATAAGGTCAATGACCCAGACCAGACAGCTGTCACCATGGTAACTGGTGCTGTAGTAGATAGCAGACAGCTGCGGTGTTGGGTTACATTATGTAGCAAGTGGCATGGCAGTTGGAGGGGCTGGTCTGGTCACCATATATTTGAATGTGTTAAAGTAAGATAAGAATAAAAAATACCATCATGAAAGTTCATCTCTGTTTGTAGTTACATGTTTAAAGTTAAAAGGTTTTGATCCAACACAAAGAAATTCTCTCACCTTAGAAAAAGCAGTTTGTTAGGCTAGACCATATGAAAGTCTCTAATTCCAAGTTTTGCCACACCCACAGTGAGAGTGACAAACTGAAGGTTGCCCAGGGCGTTACGGGGTCGATCCAGGACAAGGGTTCCGTGCACAAGTTTGTTCCTTACCTGATCTAAACTTAGCGGTACATTTGTAGTTAATTGTACTTAATTAATTCCTAATTTCCCCCCAGTGAGAGTGACAAACTGAAGGTGGCCCAGGGTGTTACAGGGTCGATCCAGGACAAGGGTTCAGTGCACAAGTTTGTTCCTTACCTGATCGCTGGGATCCAACATGGCTGCCAGGACATCGGGGCTAAAAGCCTGTCTTCTCTCAGGTACGTGCAACTTCCCTGGTCTTAAAGATGTAACTGTGTTGTGTATAAGAACTTGAATATATAGTTTATTTAAGTTATAAAACTGATGCACCAAGGCATTAACATGGTCCTCATGTTTGTTTTTCCAGTCGAGCATTTTTTTAAATTCCAAGAACCAATAAAACAATTAATGACTCGTGTTATCTCAGATTGTACATATTAAGGACTGCTACTTAAAAAAAGTTAAAGCATGTTTTATCATCATTGCTTAATCATGTAGTACCTCCAATTAGCTGCAGCCCACAGTTAGTGAATGCACATTTGTGTACTGTGCAGTTGTGGTATACAGGGCTTGAGTATAAACTAACAAAAAAGCAGATAAAATATTCATTGTTAACTCCTAGCTCCATTGCATGTATTGCTTACTAAATGTTTTAATGTAAACTTTTTTTCAGGTAACCCATATCTCAATATTTAGTTTCTGTAATGTCATGATTCAGATAGATGAACACTGATGATCATGTTATGATATATGCATATCTGCATGTCATTTTGTTTTCATTGATTGTACTTCTCTACATGCATCCATTGTTGTATAAAATGTTTTACTAGTATGTGTGAAGCACCACATCAGCTAAATTTGCTGCCTAGACAGATCTTGTCAATTACGATTACAAATATTAGTAGCAGTTAAACCAATGATAGCATCAGTCAATCAGCTTTTCAGTCTACCAATAACAAGAGGGGCAAAAGAAAAGATTACAGAGGAGATCTGCATGAACGTAATTTCTCCACAATTTCTATACAATGTGAATGGCATATAACAGCAACACCAATTACTTGTTAGTTGTCAGAATCGCCGCTCAAAAAAATCAAGAATGATAAAAAAATCAAGATAAAAGCTTGCCCACTAACCGCCCCCCTGGGAAGCATGCACTTCCGAAAGCCTGCAGTTTCAGCAAGACCTGCTAGGGGTCTTTCCTGAGCCACCGTGTTTGTTCTCCCCACGCAGAGCAATGATGTACAGCGGCGACGTGAAGTTCCAGAAGCGAACAACGTCGGCCCAGATGGAGGGCGGGGTTCACGGTCTCCACTCGTAAGTAGCCCCTTCACTCGAACTTGAACTTTAACTCTCGGTAAATCTCTCCAACAGGTCCATGATGTACAGTGGAGAGCTGAGGTTCGAGACACGAACAGTGTCTGCGCAGGTGGAGGGAGGGGTACATGGGCTGCACTCGTAAGTACACTAGTGCCACTGATGTGCGGCTCTCTGCTTCCCCTGCCTTCCCTATGTGGGGTCGTTGGCTCAGGGTTTCCTTCCTTGTTTGATGTGAGCTAAGGGTTTTTCTTCCCTTGTTTGACGTGTACTACAGAGTAGAGAGTGTGCTTCGTGTGACCACTGTTGCCTGGTCCCTGGTTTTGCTCCTTGCCTTTCCTACTCCAGTGCTCTGACGTCAAAGGTTACTCTGGAAACAGCAGTGGCCATGTACAAAGCCTGCTTGTCCGTTTTTTCATTATCGACATATTGGACTATTTCAAAACTGTTATCAGAGCTTTTTCTGTTTCATGCAATTTGTGATTCTCACTACTGTGTGAGCCTCTATACCTTGTTAGCCCGAAGTTCATTAATTTTTCTTTTCTGCAATCTCAAAGGTTTTTCTGAAGGTTGCAGGCTCTTATTTTGAGTGCTGCTGTTATAGAGCTATAGAACCTTCAGAATCGGTTCTAATAGAACTATTATAGAATTTTAGAACTTTCCATTCTAAATTTCTAACTGAACTATAGAACTATAGAACCTTCCATCAGTTCTGATAGAGCTATAGAACCTCTAGTTCTAATGTTGAAGGGTGTGCCTATCTTCCATATAGTGGTTTCTCCACTCAAAGTCTCATAACCTAACTTTGGTGTTGATGAGTCCAACTCTCTTTTTTTACATCTGGCTAATACTCAAGGTCTAACATGCCATTAATTGTGCACTGTTTTTTCTAAGAAGAAAGAAGATGGAAAAGAATTGAATGCTTCTTGTGTTTGTGAACAAATGTCAGTTGGTATTCAGAAAATTATGGACAGTTGAGTATTCAGTGTTGTAAAGGTCTATGGAAAGAGGAAGGAATGTATCGCAACAAGCAACAGTATTTGCATTTCAAGTACAGCATGTTTAAATGACCAAGCCTTTGGCCAGCATTGATCCTTAAAACAGACTTAGACTACCATCAGCTGCAAAATAACATTTTGATTCAAGCTTTTTCGTTCACTGGCCCCCCTTTGCCCTTGGAAATCAGCAAAGAATTAGTAAGCCAGTAAGCAAGCCAGTAGTTTTAAGATGTAATAAATCATTAATAGAGCTGACTGTTTTTCTTCTTCTTTCCAGGTATGAGAAGAGGCTATACTAGGGGAAGAACAGAAGACTCTTCATTCTCCTGTTGCAGTTTTGTTATTCAGTCCACACAAGTCTTATATTCCAACAACTCTCAGAGACGTCATTTATATGCACACGTGTCTCAATGCCCAACTTGCCAGCAACAGTTGTTTGTAAGCCACTCTGGGATTGGTCAGTGTCTCCATCACTGGGACACATCTGACCAATGAGAAGAAGCCATCTACCTTATTTGAATTTCATTATTGTGCTGAAAGCTAGGGCCATACCAATTCATTTCCTTGGTTCGCTGACGGTTTAAGCTGAAAATATAGCAAACAGACATCATAAAAGCAGAGGGCAGGGCAAAAAACGTAAAATATCGGTTTTACTGTTTTGTAAACTGAGTGCAGCAAGGCAAAAACCTGGTCCCCGGGCTTGGTTTTCATTGTGTTTTGCCATTGAGCATATTTTTTTAAGTCCAAAACCAACAAATCAAATTGGTATGGCCTAGCATGCAGTGAGTTGAATCAGTTGTAACCTGGATGTGTAATCCGTGAATAGTTTCATCAGGTTGGTAAGACACTGAGTAAAGGGACTCTTTTTACAAAACCAAGTCTTTTATTCAGCCGACGTTTCAGTGACTGTATGTCACCTTCCTCAGGGCAATTCTGACTGGTTCACAATTTGTACTGCAGCACAGGTGTCGCTGCTATAGATGCATGTGCACTCAGAATTGCCCTGAGGAAGGTGACAGACGGTCACCAAAATGTTGGCTGTGAATAAAACACTTGGTTGTGTACAAAGAGTCTCTTCACTCTGGATGTGTAATGTTACAGACACTTGTATTTGTACATGTGGATCGTTATGAACACAATGTATATCACACATAGGGCTATCTTTGTTAACCTGCATTTATGCACAAGATCGTATATTGACCTATTGAGACTGTACATGTACATGTGTATGTGAGCAATACTAAAGCTTGCATGTCGAGATTGGTACATATTTATAAAGTCATCACATACTGAATCCTGTGGTGAGGTTGATGAACTGACTGTGGAACTCTATATTCTGTGAAGACATTCGTGTATTTGTAAAGAAGGACTTTATATTTGTTCAAAATTGTGGATGAGAGAAGAGAGAAAAATTGAGGTATGTAGGCAGTAAGATATATAGCAAGAGGGTCGACTTGATGTTGTATACTTTGTATCTTTGGTCATACTGTCATCAATGCAATTGTGTTTGAAGTCAGTAGTAAGAGTGGTACTTTGCTTAGTCTGATTTGAAGTGATACATGTATGTCATTGTTTACTAGTAGTGTAGTGGTTAGCATCAGGATTTTAGGTGGGATGCAGTCGAAACTGATCGAGGTGCAATTTGAAGGTGTACCAACTGATATGATTCCTGCACATTCAGACATTTTCAGAGAGATCCGTGGCTGGTTTTGCAAGGAAAAATGTACAAAACTTCTAATCAATATTGACAATAATATGCATCTCCCAGTCATTGAGGCCTTGATATATAGATCTGTGTTTTGGGGCAATTTTGTTTGATCAGAAATACAACTGTGTTGCTACCCATTCAATACCTGACTTAGCGAAACTGTACTTTTATCAAATTCCAACAACACAAACTTTATAGATTTTCTGTTTTAGCCAAGCAGATTTTTTTATAGCCAACACAAATCTAGTGAGTTCGATGAACCTACAACAGTATTTGAGAAAAAACAGACTTGTAAAAGATATGATGACATCACTTTTACACTTATCCAATGTGCTGAGAAAAAAAAAAGGAAAGTATGCTGCCATTTGCAATAGAGCGATTCTTCAGTGATTTCTTGACCAAGATAACTGATAAGTTGTATGCCGACATTCCTGTGTGAAAGTGGATTCAATGACTGTCAGTGAGTATTTGAAGTTCAGTTCATTCACAGAAGGAACACTAAAACTGATAGCCTCCGTAGCCGGCTTATAGAACTGGGGGTTTGGTGGTCTTCGGCTAATTTCTGATAAGCCTCCTAGCAGGCTTATAGAACTGGGGGTTTGGTGGTCTTCGGCTGTTTTCTGATTAGCCCAGTTCTAAAAACGGGAGTAATTCAACCAGGCTGGCTATGTAGTCTATATGCAATCAGAAAATAGCACATAAAAGCTCCCAAAGACCCTGAAGACCCCCAGTTTTTGGCATGCTATGGAGGCTAAAAACTGAAAAAGTCTGAAAATGTTTGCAACCCTTACTGAACACAGACCTGGAAGGCGTAATGTTCAATCTGTTAGTTTGCAAGTCAAAGACTTAGTGGAAATTGCAATGAAGGAAGACTGCTTGCTTTTGTTTCAGCATCTGTAAAATGGAAGTTTGTTCCTAGCCACACATTTGTTGGAAAAGTTGAAACTTCTATATGCGATGCGTAAAAAAAGATGAATTTATTCACTGTAAAGAAAGGGATATACAACTTCAGTGCCTCACGTGATGCAAGTACTTAAATATTTCAGATATTGAAGAGGACAGAGGATCTATAATTGCGTATATGTTGTCCGTTTTGTATGTATTTTTGTGAGAAAGTGTATGGATAAGAAGATACATTGATCTTGTTGGAAGCGATGCCGATATTTTGAAGAGTAGATAAATAAAATAGGTAGCGACTATGACATTATAGATGTACTTTTTGTCTCCTGTGTGTGTTTGCATGTAATAACTTGGGAATGCAGCAATTAACCACATACAACTGTGGTCATCCTCAACTAGGAAGAAAAGGACTGTTTTCAACTGTTCAGGACAAAATATAAGCATTTTGCAGTTGATTCTGAATTTTTTTTTTTTCGCAAGTCAGATAAAAATGAAGCGGGCGAATCCGTTAACCAAGAAATTCAATTGGTGTGACCTTATAACGTTATTTTATTGGCCCAAACCGTCTAGATATGTTATTCTCTTAAATCTTAATGGTATACAACATAACTTTAGAAGTTTAACAAAGAGATGCTATGATAGAATATAAGGATCTACGAAGACTTATGTAGCCCATAGCAACACCGGCGATATTTAAGCTATTCGCCACCTTGGATCATCAATCTTGAATTTTGGAAAATAGTTTGCAAAAAAGATAAAGCCTGAAAATACATTGATTTTTTTGTAAAACGAAATCGAAGTAGTGACGAAATTTTAAGGAAAATTACCTGCATATACCTGATCTAATGATCCGCCGTCTTGGATTTTGACCAATGACATCAGCAAATTACCATAGATTATGCATTGTTAATGATAAAATGACATAAAACTTCATAAGATGTTACTGAATGTTATCAATATTAGATAGAATGAGTAACTTGACATAAAACCCATAAAAGTCTTGTTAAAACAAAAATTACCGAATTTCGCAAAAAAAAAACGCCTGTCAGAAACCCGTCGGCAACTCCAAAAATTATTAACATATTTCACTAATTCACGAACTTCTTGCCGACTACATTTTAGGAAAAGTCACCAAGTTTGGTGGTTCTAGCGCGAGCCGTCGGACGCTATCCGACATCAAAGTTGTCGCGGGGACTTTTTATACCGGATAAGCAGAGGCGAGGTAGCGTTTTCCGCCGTAGTTGGATTTCCCCCAGCTCCATGTCCGAATGCCCACAGATGCGCCCGCCATGTCGAACCTGTAACAAGCCAGTCATTATGTTTACCGAAGGAAAACATATTGTTTTTACTAAGTTTCTTCTTCTGTTCCAAACACTAACCTCTGACCTGGCCAATGGCCTAATTTGTTGATGTCTGTTACCATGGTAACTGGTGTTGGGTTACACAATGTTGCAACTTCAAAGTAGGCATTTAGACTCCTGTCATCATATACGTGTATGTCAATGTGTTTTAGTAAGAATTAACAGAGCAGACCATATCCAAAGGTAAACATTATGCATTTGCTTTGCAAATGTTACTTTTCTAGTTTAGTTTAAATCTGTAACTGTAGATCCGTTGCTTTCCTTTGTACTATTTACCGCAGTTCGGCAATAATAAAGTTACATCAAATATAAATCAAACTTTTTATGTACCGGTTCACAATTGTAACTAACAAAGCGCAACGGCTGCCGATAATCCTACACTGTAGGGCTGGGTAGTAATGAAGAAGAAGAACTTGGCTTGGCGTTGCTTAGAGTGAGAGTCTACGTTATCTAGATGCTTAGAGTGAGAGTCTACGTTATCTAGATGCTTAGACTCACGGAGATTCTAAGTTATCTAGATGCTAAGAGTGAGAGTCTAAGTTATCTAGATGCTTAGAGTGAGAGTCTAAGTTATCTAGATGCTTAGAGTGAGAGTCTAAGTTATCTAGATGCTTAGAGTGAGAGTCTAAGTTATCTAGATGCTTAGAGTGAGAGTCTAAGTTATCTAGATGCTTAGAGTGAGAGTCTACGTTATCTAGATGCTTAGAGTGAGATTCTAAGTTATCTAGATGCTTAGAGTGAGAGTCTAAGTTATCTAGATCCTTAGAGTGAGAGTCTAAGTTATCTAGATGCTTAGAGTGAGAGTCTAAGTTATCTAGATGCTTAGAGTGAGAGTCTAAGTTATCTAGATGCTTAGAGTGAGAGTCTAAGTTATCTAGATGCTTAGAGTGAGAGTCTAAGTTATCTAGATGCTTAGAGTGAGAGTCTAAGTTATCTAGATGCTTAGAGTGAGAATCTACGTTATCTAGATGCTTAGAGTGAGATTCTAAGTTATCTAGATGCTTAGAGTGAGAGTCTACGTTATCTAGATCCTTAGAGTGAGAGTCTAAGTTATCTAGATGCTTAGAGTGAGAGTCTAAGTTATCTAGATGCTTAAGAGTGAGAGTCTATTTTATCTAGATCCTTAGAGTGAGAGTCTATTTAAAGGTTGTTACAAACCGGCAGAGTCTGTCGGGAGATGTGACATAGCACATGGTGTACATGGCCAGGTCAAACTCCGGGCTGGCGCCGTAGAACATCGAGCCCAGCTCCTTGTACAGCGACTCCCAGCGAAGCTGCACAGCCAGGATGTTGGGCTGGGAAATAAAAACAAGAAATCTTAGATTTCAGACCTCCAGTCAAGGGACAAGGGACAAGGATGGAATCTATGTGCGGGACACAACACCAGCAACAGCTGCCTCTGTTCCCTGTGTATTGCACTGTTGCAATTTCAATAAATCAAAGTCAAATCAGAAGTCACACTTCAAAGAAGCCACGTGACAAGCCTCACTGGGTCAGTCTACTGAGGAAGACCAGAGGTGACTGGTCGAAAGCTCTAGATGAGAACTTTTTGTGTTGGATCAAAAGGTTTAACCTAAAACACAGTAAACACCTAGCTACTTGTGACGTCGTTGGCGCAACGGTTAGAGCGTTGGACTCGGAACCAAGAGGGTTCGATACCGTGGCCCGACGTTGTGCCCTTGGGAAAGGCAATTTACACGACTTCCCCACCATGTACGGTGGAGTGACGCCCATCGAGCCTCTTCGGCTAATCTGTCTAACTGGGTGCCAAAAACACCCTACGGATTTGGTGCGCCGATGTGTCAACATCAGCACATTTGCGACCAAGAGCCGTTAAAAAAAAGCACAGTAAAACCTGTGGAACCTTACCTGCTTGTCCCAGATGTAGCCGTAGTAGTCCGCCTCTCGACTCTTCTCCAGAAGGTACAGGGTCAGCCAGTTGTGGAAGCCTGAAACCTGGAGAGAAACGTTCTGTTAAGTCAGGAGTGATTCATCATAAGAGAATTTTCAAGCTTCATATAACTTTTGTTCCCTTTTCGACTTCCAAAAAATTGTCTTCACTTAATTTGCATATCAATCAATAGTTTGTGCTTATAAACCTGCATTTCCCCTCTGGTCTCTCAGTCACTGACGAAAGGTAGTGGATACTACATGTAGCTGAAACGTTTGACGTTTTCAAAATCATATCCAGTTGCTTGAGTATTAGTAACTGCTTTTTGGCGCTTCATATAAATGCCATGGAAACTCACTCAGTGGGCAGTCTCGGACTAAGGACGAAACATGGCGCTTTTTCGTAGCTACTTGTGCAATGCGACTTCGTTACATATATTATATACGGCTTTACACCCCCATTCAAAAGGACGATGCAACTTTTTCGAGGCGTACCCAACACTTGTCAAATGTCTCCAAGGATTTTGAACCACATGCGGTGAGATATTAGACATATTGTTTTTGCTCTTTTTCTTCTTCTTTCGTTCCAAACACTGACCTGGTCAATGACCTGAACCAGACCGTCTGTCACCATGGTAACTAGTGTTGGGTTACATCATGTTGCAATTTTATAGCAGGAGGGATTTATACTCCTGTCACCATATATAAGAATGTGTTTGTGTAAGCATTAACAGAGCAGACCATGTGCGAAGGTAAACGTGATGTATTTGCTTTGCAAATTTTGGTTACTGTTAAATCTAAAACCCCAGACTGACCTTGCCCTTCTTAAACTCTCCCAGAAAGACGTGTTCGAATCCGCTGGAGTCCATCGCGTCGCCGCTGGAGCGGGAGTACAGCCCGAACCACATCTCCCTCAGGTCAGCCATGAAGGTCGCCAGGTTCGAGCTCGCTAGACCTGCGGGAAAGCCGAGACGGGGGGCGTTACAGGTTATCTGGTTATACATGACCTGCTGGAGCGGGAGTACAGCCCGAACCACATCTCCCTCAGGTCAGCCATGAAGTTAGCCAGGTTTGAGCTCGCTAGACCTGTGGGGAAGACGAGACGGGGGGCGTTACAGGTTATCTGACCCGCTGCTGTCGTACGTCATCAGGTGTCTTTGTCGCCACTTACCAGAAGTAGACGGGGCCATTCCATGAGCATTTGGGTAACTGATTTCTCTTCAGTGTTAATTGGCGCATTAAGTCTAGCCTGTATTCCATAGTGGTGTTATATACATATATAACGTTATATATATATACACACACGCACACACGTATATACATACATACACACTCATTTACATACAACTATATAAATTATGTATCTATATATCTATGTCTCTTTCTCTCCATATCTATATATCTATCTCTCTATCTTTATACATTATACATATCTCTCTCTCTATATATATATATATATATATTATATTATATTATATTATATATAATATATACACACACACACACACACACACACAGACATATAGATACATAATTTATATAGATGTATATAAATATGTCAATCTCACCCTTGTACGCCAGGAACTGGTGCAGGTTGGTGATGACGTCAGTGCCCTGTATGGCGGCCATGAAGGCGTCGATCTCGGCGTGTTCGGCTGACGTCACCACTTCGTCCGTCTGCGTGAAGGGCACGTAGTTGTCGAGAAGAGCCAGGTAGGTTTTGTACGTCGGTTTCTTGAACAGGGCAGCCTCGTCCACGTAGGAGAACAGCCTGGAAAATAGTCGTTAGTTTGTTTCTTTATTGTGAGTTTTCTTTACTATGAGTCTGTCGTTCGGTGTGATATAGCCAGCTGCCGCCGCGCCGCGTGCCTGCGAAGCTGGTGTGTTACGCCGAAGGGCGGTTATACCGGCTATACTGATACAGATTCTTTCTTCAAACAATGGTCAGCATGGCAGCAGTACGTAAAATATTTGACTGCTGAATTGTACTGACCTTACATATACATAAAATGCAATGTAAGCGCAAACAGAACATACAGCACTCTACCTACTTAGCGTCTGCACCGGTCTAAAAGTACATGCGTATATTTTTAGGTAAAAAACAACAGTACTTGTCGCTGGCCAGGTCCTGGTGTCGGCTTAGGGCTGAGATCTGTCCCTGCAGGTTCAGCTTATACTGGCTGCTGGAGGCTCGGTTCACATCGCCCTCCCACAGGAGCTGCAGTCAGTAATATCAGAATATTTCAATTCTCATAGATTTTCAGCTATATGCCAAAAAGCAGTTACTCAAGCAACTGGATATGATTTTGGAAACGGTCAGACATTTCAGGTAGCATCCACTAGCTTTCGTCAGTGACTGAGAGACCAGAGGAGAAATGCAGGAGTCTAAATCCCTCCTACTACAAAATTGCAACACTATGTAACCCAACACCAGTTACCATGGTGAGAGACGTCAACAAAGCAGGTCATTGGCCAGGTCAGAGGTCACTGGAGAAGAAGAAGAAGATGAAACGTAAGAAAAAGAAACCACAAAGCAGACGGCAGTGTTACCCACCTGTGCGAGACACGACAGTTCTTTGCTGGTAGCAGACGATCTGGTACTTGCTGCACAAGAGGCGCCGCCTGTTCCTGAGACCACAGGCTCCACCACATTCCCTCCCTCTCCTGAATCGCACGAGCCTCTTTCGCAGGTGCCGCCATCTGTTCCGGGGACCACCGGCTTCACCACGTTGGAGACTACCGGTTTTTCCACGTTCTCTCGAGCACCCTCTTCTGGAAAAAAAACAACAACTTTTTTTTGTGATATGAAATCGATACTTTCAATTACAAACACATCTACGCCTGGTTTTATTTCGATAAATTTGTAGGCAATGCTTTAACATATGTCACAAATACAATGTTCGTCTACTTTTCGTGAAACGTAAGTATTTTACTTCTGCAGATCCTGTTGAAGTCGCTGCAGCAGTTGTTGAACTCCCTGCAGCGCTTGTTGCAGTGGCAGGGGTTTTCTGGATCGTAGTCCTCCCAACATCGGCCTTCGCATGACCCTACAGGTAGCAACGTACGTGTAACTAGAAAGGTAATATTCGCAAAGCCAATGCATAATGTTTACCTTCGCATATGGTCTGCTCTGTTAATTCTTACTCAAACACATTATATATATATGGTCAGACAGGAGTCTAAATCCCTCCTGCTACAAAATTGCAACATGATGTAACCCAACACTAGTTACCATGGTAACAGACACAACATTGGTTCGGGTCATTGAGGTCACTGTTTGCAGAAGAAGAAGAGGAAACGTAGCAAAAAAACAATATATTTTCCTTCGGTAAACATAAATATATGGTGAATGGTGGTCATTATTCTGTCAACTTGTACATTACAGTGTGTGCTTTCAACATGAGTTTTAATGTACATGTATTTTTTTCATAAATCAAAGATAGAAAGTATATTACTTGGGCACATGGTTTTGAAGTCACTGCAACAGTTGTTGAAATCCCCACATTGAGGATCGCAGTGGCAGGAGTTGGCTCGGTCGTATTTCTCGAAGCACCGCCCGTAGCACGAACCTACAGGAAGCAACGTACATGTAGCAACGCACATGTAGCAGCGCACGTGTAGCAACGCACGTGTAGCAACGCACATGTAGCAGCGCACATGTAGCAGCGCACATGTAGCAGCGCACATGTAGCAGCGCACATGTAGCAGCGCACATGTAGCAGCGCACATGTAGCAACGTACATGTAGCAACGTACATGGAACAGCGTACATGTAGCAACGTACATGTAGCAGCGTACATGTAGCAACGTACATGCAGCAACGTACATGCAACAGCGTACATGTAGCAGCGTACATGTAGCAGCGTACATGTAGCAACGTACATGTAGCAGCGTACATGTAGCAACGTACATGTAGCAACGTACATGCAACAGCGTACATGTAGCAACGTACATGTAGCAACGTACATGCAACAGTGTACATGTAGCAACATACATGTACATGAAGCAACGTAACAGCGTTCTTGCAACAGCGTGGATTTTAAACTTGTAAGAGGCATTCTAAGGTATTAAATCCTTCTGAAGACACAAAATATTGTTCGATACTCATATCCAGTTATCAAAAAAAGGCGGGATGCTGTCTTGCCAGTTGCAGTAGATTGCCATTGATTGTCATTGTGCATCATAATTATAAACCCCCAAAAGATGCTCTTGAAGATTAGTCGCACTTACCTTCTACATATCGTGCTATGAGGAGAATCACAAGAAGAGCTTGGAAACGCAGCATGATGCAGACTTTTCTCGGTCGCGAACTTTGTGTGACTTCTGTCCTGCGATGGGTATATATATAACGTTATAGAGGGAGTGTATAGAAAGAGAGAGTGCTTAAAAGTCCTTAGCTATATATAAAAGTCCTTAGCTATATATATTTATGGACACGTCCTGCTGGTTGGGTGCAATGAAGAACAGTCCGCCAGTATGGAACGCGTCCAGAAACGTGCCCTACGTATAATCTCCTGTGGTGGTAGACGGGCGGTTCCAAACCTACCTACCCTGAAGGAAAGAAGGGAGTCAGCAGCAGTAAATCTCTTCAAAGCTATGCTGAACCCTGATCACCCTCTGCACGACCTTGTTCCCCCTGAACGTGCGACTGCTACAGGGAGACAGCTCAGGAACAGCAACATGTTCACTTTGCCTAAAGCTAGGACTCTGCGTCTGAAAAAGTCTTTCTTACATTGTGCAGTAAGACTCTACAATGACAGTGACAATGGCTGATATTTGGAAACCTATGTCTGCTATCTTCTGTTGTAGAGTGAATGGTGTTTGTACATATTTGTATATAGTGTGTTTCTGTGTACCTGTCCTGTCTTGTTTTTTTTTTTTGTAACAATTTGTAAAAATCGAATACATAATTCAGGGGTGCATTAGCATTCCCTGCTCTTGTACGATTTTGTTTGATTGAATAAATTGAATTGAATTGAATTGTGTATTTGCTTAGGATATTTTCCCAGTGCAACAGGCGTTTTTGTCATTGCCATACATATCTAGGTACAGATCATTTATCAGGCCCGGTTTTCGCCACTTTTACCACTAGCTAGGTTTGGCATTCAGTAAGAGTAGTCAGCAGGTTGACATATCAATAGCGACATCTAGCGACATGTAGCGCAATGGCATGCTAGTATCTGGCAAGGAGCGCATGGTACGGCTATGGTCTGCCACCCTGCTGCCGCCACTAATGTTTATATGGTCTTAAGACTGAATAAATTTGATTTGATTTAAACACCATTCTTCGCGGTATAAAAGCAACGTTCTAGAGGGATCTATGATATCGGATACGGTAATACTATCCCATATATCCTTTGTGTATTTATATGTTAATTATATTTTGCTGTGTGGCGCTGTTAAAAAAAGTTATAAACTTGAGTGCAGCGCCACACTGTCATTGTTATGTTTTGATGTTTCGATGAATAAAAAAAACATAATCGTAAGTAGGACGCATTTTGAATGAAGTACGGCCTTATTAGACTGTCAGAGGATCGTCGGGAGTGCAGGACTCAAATTGAAAGCCACATTGCCCCTAGCTATGGGACTGGTGAGGTGAGGTGAGGTGAGGTGAGGTGAGAACGCTTGAATAATTGGGCACGCCCAGCAATTATCTCCACCTTAACTGTGACGTTTTTTCCATTCAAACAAAGAAACTACCTTCTAACCAAAATTTTAGTATTTTTTCTAGCATAACGAATTTTAACAAGCCTTTTTGGGACTTAGGATCTGTACTGCGGTCTTCACTGGGATAAATTCTTATTTTCGTGTTTGAGCGGAAAAGTAGCCACGTTCTAAAGGGACCTCTACTGTCAAATAATTACGTTGACATTTGCCAAAGAAATGTTGCATCAGCTTCATCTTCAACAAGACTGGCAATGAAAACACACATTGCCATGGCGACGGTGGTTGCTGTCAGGGTTATAGTTTGCATGGCACTGCCATCATTTCATGATTTTGAGGAAGACTTGGTACCTGTTAAGTCTAGACAGATACAGTGCACTCCTCCCCTGAGTGTATAGTGAACGAGCCCCAGGGCACAGAAAGTAGGGCATCCGGGGCAGACAGATCTTCAGGGTTCCAGGAATGTGGGCATAGATGTGGGTCAGAGAAATGCCTATGGACATTCCATTCCTGTGGACAAAATGCCTGTACAATTCCTAGAATTCTTGCGAACTGCACACAATACTGTATTATTAGGCTCCTCCCTGAGACGTCGCCAAAAATGCCATTGGCACATACGGGCATCTGCAAGTACACGTTGCGAAACACTAGGTGATTGTCTGTGGGTGACCTGCCAGGGGCATTTGCAACAATACACAGGCATTACGGCCCATGAAGCGATAACCCAACCCAGGGGTATCGTGTCATGTTAGATGGGGGCCTGCTTGCCCTTTTTCGTAAAACCTTTTTATTTTTTAATCCTCGTAATCCGTAAGCAGCCTCCCCGAAAATCAACCTAATTCGTAATAGTGCATTAGCCGCAAAGCGTAAAGTCGTAATCAGCTCTGAAAGTTTGACGTAATTCGTAATGGGTGACGAAAATTTTGCGTTATTCGTAATCACTACCCCCCCATGCAGGCCCTCTTAGATATTCTTCTTGAATGAACATTGTCCCCAAAATAACCTCTAAACCTCGAATCGACGCAGCAGACGTTGTATTTTGTGCAATTCCGCACAAAAAAATCGTGTATCAGACAGCCGCCAGATCAGCCTAGTCGATGTTACGTCAACTGAGAAGTCGCATTTAGACCGATAAAAGTCAAATGTAGAGCCGATATGCGGCGAGTTTGATATTCTTTAGCCATTTGATGTATTTAGTCATCGTCTAGTACGACGGACGAACACCAACAAGAACACATGTGCTTTGGTTTGGTTATGTACAGCTGACCATCCAGTTATCAGGAATATTTGAAATATTTTTATCACATGGGCCTACCTTTTAATCGTTCTTTTGCTCGTAGTTTTTAACTGTTGTGGTGTGGTTGTAGGTTGTGTAATTATTGTGGTCTATGTAGTCTTTCTAATGATACTGTATTTTAACTTTCTAATGACTTTGTATTTTAACCTCCTAATGACTCTGAATTTTAACTTAATTATGTGCAATACTATAAACTCTTGATTTTAAAATAATGAAATGTACATTGATTCGCAATTCAGTAACTTGTATTAAGTTTACTGCCATTGATCAATAAATAATTCTTGAGTCTTTCTGGTTATAATTATCCTCCGCACATATGAGGTCGGTATGTGTAGATAGAATTATGACTAGCCTGGTTACCAGACCTACTCGGGAGCCTGGTAGCCAGGCTAAGATGTAACTTAGGTTGTACATACTGGCAACTGCTTGATGTGCAAAAGGTGTAATGCTTTTAAGAAAACATAACGTCACAGAGGTAGGTGAGAACATCCATGAAAAACTCTTGAAGCCGATCGCAGCTAGTACTAGTAAAAGTACAGGACATTCACAGCAAAATCGCAATCCTAGATATGCATTTTTAGACGTACGGTGCAATTGAATGTCTTATTGTACTACGTAGACGCACCGTATCCCTGCTAACGACAGCATAGCAACATGACTGTCGTTCTTTATATAAGTAAACTTTTTCTGTGGGAGACCTTTCTGTAATTTTGTGCCTCCGCGGTGCCTGCAACAAGTCCGCTTTGACTCTTCACCCGAATGAACAAAAAAAATGGATAATCGGTCTCGCCCACCAATTATCTCCACCAACCTTCAACCAAATCAACTACTTTCTAACCAAAATTTTAGTAATTTTTTAGCATAACGTGCTGTACTTAGTACTGAGAGAGTCTCTGTTACTAAGCGTAAACAAACAGCCCCAGCCTTTTACAGCCCCCCACTTTAACATTTTAACAATTACATTGCATACTCTGTGAAATACAAAAACGATGTGTGATAACCATCTATGAACTTTGACAAACCTTCTTTTGATATTTAGAATTTGTACAGTGGTCTTCAGTTGTATAAATTCCTATTTTGGTGTCTGAGCGGAAAAGGAGCACGTTCTAGAGGGACCTCATGCTCTACTATCAAATACCTTGACATTTGCCCAAGCACGGCGCCCTACAGTCTTATTGAACTACGTAGACGCACCGTAGCTCTCATTAACGACCTGAATGTCGTTCTTTATAAGTAAACTTTTTTCTGTGGGAGACCTTTCTGTAATTTTGTATTCCTCCATGGTGCCTGAACAAGTCCACTTTTCACCCGAGTGAACAAAAAAATGGATAATGGGTCACACCCACCACTTATCTCCCCCTATCCCAACATTTCATGACTAGACATGGTGACGGCACACTCAAGTTTAATAAACTTATTTATGCCGCCACTAACGCAGAGTAACGAATACAGGACAGGGCAATACTCATTTTCACCTGAGTAAAGTGAGAAAAATCGTGTAAAGTGTCCTTCCCCAAGGGCACAAGATCGGTGGCATGTCAGGACTCGAACCCGGGACCTCTTCGTTCCGTGTCGTTACGCCACACGCCCACCAATTATCTCCACATTATAACTGTGACGCTTTTTCTCTTCAAACAAATAAACTACTTTCTAACCCAAATTTTAGTAGTTTTTTTTAACATAACGTTTTGTAGTCAGAAACAAGAAGAAACAGTCGGTGAGAGAAAATCTCTGTCACTAAGCGTAAAGAAACTGTCCTGATCTTTACTAACACTTTTGAAGTTATTACATTGTATACTTCGTAAAATACGAAAACCATCTGTGATAACCTTCTATACATTAAAAAAAAAAACCTTATACACAGATGTGGAAACTGTACAGTGAATATATTCCCACCTGTGAGGCAGAAACACGGCGGCAATGTTGGAGATATTTCAGTGCCGATCCGCCTCGGAATCAGGTCTGCACCAAATGACGCCGTCGAACTTGTTTTATCATGTACCTATGACATGGGAGCGGCAAGGGCTAAACGTCACAGCTTTACCCCTATTTGACCTCACCCGTTCTTTTTTTTGGCCGTTGTGGGGGGGGGGGGCTATTGAGACCCGCCCCCTGTAGCTCAACAACCACTTATCGTAGGACCACCAAATTTTCAGAGAATGGTGTAGGAGTTAAAGTAAATCATATACACGACTTTGGTGTAATTATGACGTCATAATAACATTATGACGTCATCTATGTGATGTTTTGGGGTTAAAACCGTGAAAAAAACTTTTTCTGTAAAACTCAAGAGGAATACAACCGGTTACCAAACTTGAACAAAAAGCGTCTACTACAGAATATTAAGGTCTACTAAGAATGACGTCACAAAATGATTGTCACATTCTGGTCACCACGCAACTGCCTCTGCCCATAAACCTAGTAACACAGTTTGAGGGACAAACAAACCCTGTCCTCACTTTATCTAGTTTAATGTAACTATAGATAACCATAGTTACTTCTGTTGAGTTTCTCGTAGCGTATTTTACCAGCTAAGATGAACTCCCATGCTATATAATTCTCTTTTGTTCAGCTCTCTTTATTGTATGATCAGTGCACCAGGCATTTGGTACCATGGACAGGATGTTTATTATAGAGCTTTGTCCCATTGGCAGCCACCCTCATGCGGGATAAGCAGACGCGAGGTACTTCTTCCCGCCACCATAGCTAGAGTTGTTCCAGCTCCAGGTCTGTATGGCCACGGACGCGCCCGCCATGTTGAACCGGCAGAGGCTGTCGGGAGATGTGATGTAACACATGGTGTACATGGCCAGGTCGAACTCCGGGCTGGCGCCGTAGAACATCGAGCCCAGATCCTTGTACAGGGACCCCCAGCGAACCTGAACGGCTAGGATGCCGGGCTGGGAAATACAAACTTTTACAGTCAAACCTGTACAGGTACAAATGACCTCTGCATAAGGACTGCCTGGTCATCATGCATGTCAAACCTGTGCAAGTGCCCACCTCGCTAGCTCTGCAAACGAACTACATGTACCTGGTCATTGATATACAGTCAAACATGTACTAGTGACCACATCTATCTAAGGCGACCACCTGGCCATTGACACACGGTCAAATCTGTACAAGAGCTCTACATAAAGACCACCTGGTCCCTTTTAGTGGCCCCATAGATAATTTTTCCCATTGGCACTAGCATTAAGAAACTATACTGACCACCTGTCCACATCTGTTTGGGGATGACCAAAAGATGCTTATAGACTACCCGGTATAAAGGATAAGACAGTACATAGGCACAGGGTGGGCATAATTTGCCATAAACACGGCAGAACCTTACCTGCTTGTCCCAGATGTAGCCGTAGTAGTTCAGATCTCCATCCTTCTCTAGCAGGTAGGTCGTCAGCCAGTTGTGGAAGCCTGAGACCTGAAGTGGCGAGAAACGTTTTATTCCATGGTTAAAATGGCTGGCTTTTTATTGGTGCAATTGATACATGTACCTTGGTTGGCTTTTTATTTCTTGGTTGATACATGTCATGTACATCATGTACCTTTGAACCAGTGTTGATCCCCCTTTGATCACACTTCAAAGAAGCCACGTGACAAGCCTCACTGGGTCAGTCTACTGAGGAAGACCAGAGTGACTGGTCGAAAGCTCTAGGTGAGAACGATTCTCTATTGTGCTGGAACAAAAGTTTTACCTTTAAACTTAGGTCACTTAATGTACAACTTTATTCACTTCATGGCTCTTTGCATACCATCTGGGACTATCATAGGATGTCTAGGTCTGTTTTTTGCCTTGTCGCTTCATATTTTTTTCTGAAAAAATCCCAGAACCGACAGATCACATTGGTATGTCCTAACTGTTAGAATTCAATTCGCTACTGACCTTGCCGTTCTTGAACTCTCCCAGAAAAACGTGTTCGAATCCGCTGGAGTCCATGGCGGCTCCACTGGAGCGGGAGTACAGGCCAAACCACATCTCCCTCAGGTCAGCCATGAAGGTCGCCAGGTTTGAACTCGCCAGACCTGTGGGGAACCGAGACGGGGGGCGTTACAGGTTATTAGTCACGATAACATGAGAATTAGCAGTTTGACCAATAAGAGGCCGAACCACATCTCCCTCAGGTCCGACATGAACACCGCCAGGTCCGAACTCGCTAGACCTGCGGGGAGGCCGAGACGGGGGACGTTACAGGTTATTCGGCGGTATGGCAGCACGTCGGCAGAACGTGCTGTGCCTGCACGAAACCCTGTTTTTTCGCGGCTCCGCTGATTATGAACAAGTATGCGTTAGGGTTAATGTTTTAAGATTAATACGAATTACAATCATTTTGGATACTACGGATCACGAAGACTAAAAAGGCCTGATTACGCCTTACGAAAAAGGGGATACAGGTCCTGTTTTATGATATGTCAATCTCACCCTTGTACGCCAGGAACTCATGCAGCTTAGTGATGACGTCAGTGCCCTGTATGGCGGCCATGAAGGCGTCGATCTCGGCGTTCTCGGATGACGTCACCACTTCGCTGGTTCCGGTGGACGGCACGTAGTTGTCGACCAGAGCCAAGTACGCGGCGTAGGTCTGTCTGGTGAACAGCCCAGCCTCGTCCAGGTACGAGAACAGGCTGGAAAATATTAATTTGTTCGTTTCTTAGACAGATACTAGCCTTCATGCGCAGTTAGCTCTATGCTTATGTCCCATATGGAGAAAAAATTAAGGTCTGGGAAAATGTGATTGTTATGGCCAGGTGGCTGGCCTGAAGAGGCCGTTTGACTTAGTCCCTATTTTTTTTTTGTGAAGGCATACATGGTTTTACAATGGACACACATAGCAAAAAATAACTCTCGACAGATTGTTGAAGTGTTTACTTTGCACTGGCCAGGTCCTGGTGTTGGCTGGCGGCGCTCTGTGCGATCTGACCCTGCCTAAATCTAAACATTGTTTAAAGCTATTTAATGATAATGCCCTATCTGCACTTAGTGGCAACAAGTCCTGCTCTACTATAGTTTTAGGAAAAACAGCATTACTCTGCACTGGCCAGGTCTTGATGTTGGCTGAGGGCGCTCTGTGCGATCTGACCCTGCCGGTTCAGCGTGTACTGGCTGCTGGAGGCTCGGTTTACATCGCCGTCCCAGAGAAGCTGCAGTAAGTAACATCATAACATCATAATTATTATTATCAATATTTCAATTTACATGGTGCTCTTCTCAATCTGATTGAAGATTGAGTTGACTGGCAATGTTTGGAAGCATCTGTTAATACTAAGCCTGGTGAAGCACGACCCCCCCCCCCCCCAGGAATAAAGATAGGTCTTTAGTTGAAGGTACATATGACATGGCTTGTGATACTAGTAGTTTTACGAATCATTTACGAATTAAAGATGAAAGGCTGCAATCTCCAAACAGATGTAAGGATGGGCCAGCGAAGAGTATAAGAACTTCAAGGTCCACTGAGAGACTGAGATGAACGCTTACATGAAAATCTGCTTGAAGATGGATTACATAGACTGTACAGTTGTTGCCGAGGTACAGTCCAGTCGATAGACACAGTAAGCAGATGGAATATTACCCACCTGTGCGAGGCACGACAGTTCCGTGCTGGTACTTGTATAATCCAGAACCGTGCTTAATCCTGCCAGAACTGTGCTCAGTTCTGTATATTAGTTACGCGGCAGAGGGCAATGCTATTACCCACCTGTGCGAGACACGACAGTTCGGTGCTGGTAGCGGAGGAGCTGGTGCTTGTTGCACACGAGGCGCCGCCTGTTCCGGGCGACACCGGCTCTACCACGTTCCCTCCCTCTCCTATAACGTACAAACAGCCTGTTTTACATCCAGATCCATGCATGGTCACTAGGACTTAGCACTTAGTGCTAGCCCCCTGCTGTAGTGCTTGCACAACTGTGTGACCCAAGGGCTACAGAAATAGTGATGGGCGCCACCCCTGTGCTCTGCACAGAGTGTTCAATGGGACCTTTATGCTCAGGCACAGTTCTGGATGGTAGACGGGTGTTCAGAACCATATTGTATCAGGCATGGTTCAAAAGACTATCCAGAACTGTGCCTGATCCTAACCCTAACGCATTCAGATCCAGATAGGCACGGTTCTGGATACAACTGACTATGTTTTGTGTGCTTTCTTCTCGCTTGATTTACAAGGGACTATTCAGTGTGAAGTGTTACAGCGGAAACCAGGCTTGAGTTTTGTCCAGCTGTGCAGTCTCAAATCCATCCGCTTGTGAAGTGTGATTGAAGTACAATTAGGGAGCCATACATTCCAAACAACAGTGATTTAATGGTTTAATACCTTCTTCAGATGTCCACTTGTTCGCATACACTTTGCTCTGGACGCGCGCTGGACACGTGGCTGTGTCCTGTGCGATTTGCTAGATTTGGCACCAAATCAAGATTGCGTAAGACTAATGTTTTTGGTGGGTTTGACATTATGTAATTGGGCAAACAAGATACTTGACTAAGTACATTGAGCCCCCACTCCCACCGCGCTAATGTGAAATCTCAATGCACTTCACAACATTCTCCTACAAAAACTAGGCAAATACTTTTTCTACACGGCTGAGGCACAGGAGCCCAAAATATACATTTTGCATCTGAAAATGGCCCCAAATCCCAAACTGAACATTTGAATGTACCTAAACACTCATAGTCGGCACAGCAGTCACCATACTGGGTACATGGGTGTTACTCAGATGTAGTAATGTTGGAGGCACTCTATACAAATTACCAGGACTTCTGGCATGGATACCAGGGCACAGGAGCCCAAAATGTTCATTCTTCATCTGAAAATAGCGAAAAAAATCCAAAAGTTTGCATGTACCTAAACACTCAGTCCCGTAGTCGGCACAGCAGTCCCCGTACTGAGTACACTGGGTGTTACACTGGCAGGAGTAGGCAGTGTTCATCAGCTCACCACACCGGCCATTCGCACAGGAGTTTCCCCAGTCTGGGAAAAACATGGTCAATGCAAGAAATGTGTACAGAGTAGCCAGGGTGTCATCTTATTTGTATACCAGGGTTCCCATACTGACAGCATCATTGGTGGGCTGACATACATGTACTCGGCAAATCGGATGTTAGGCTCGGATGAAAATACAGATACAGAGGCTGGTACGTTATGTCAATGGGGGTTATACCGGCTATACAGATACAGATACAAAATTCAATACAGAAGCTGGTGTGTTATGCCGAAGGGCGGTTATACCGGCTATACAGATACAGAAGCTAGTGTGTTACGCCGAAGGGCGGTTATACCGGCTATACAGATACAGAAGTTGGTGTGTTACGCCGAAGGTCGGTTATACCGGCTATACAGATACAGAAGCTGGTGTGTTTAATACGCCGAAGGGCTGTTATACCGGCTATAAAGATACAGATACAGATTCAGAAGATAGAAAGCGTATTACTTGGACACATGCTGTTGAAGTCGCTGCAGCAGTTGTTAAACTCCCCGCAGCGCGAGTTGCAGTGGCAGGAGTTGGCGGAGTTGTAGTCCTCCCAGCAACGTCCGTAGCACGAACCTAAGTGTGGAAACATACGTGTAAACATATGGCCATTCAGCAACGCCCGTAGAACGAACTTACATGTACAGGTAGCAATTTTACCAATACATGTAAACATATGTTTTTTTTTCTGTCAAGGTATTGATTTCAGGAAAGCTTCAGGCCCAGTTTACACTGGTGGCGATTACTAAGTAAACAATCGTGAGACGGTTACCTTTCACAGGACAGTTAAACATCAGTGTAAAGTGGGCCTTGAAGAGCATTCAAGGTGGGTGCAATGTTTTGGGTCCCTCAATGATAAGTTAATTTCTGCACAGTGTTGTAAAAGATGTTATAAGAGACATTCTAAGCCTTTAAATCCATTTGAAGACACCAAATATTGTTCGATGCTCATATCCTTGTATTCAGGCAAGGAGGGATACAGTCTTACCAGTTAGCTACCAAAAGATGTTCTTGGATATTAGTCGTACTTACCCTCCACATGTCGAGCAACGAGGAGAATCGCGAGAAGAGCTTGGAAACTCAGCATGATGCAGACTTTTCCCGGTCGTCTACTATGAGGCTTCTACTCTACTATTGCTGTATATATAGGGAGTACATAGAGAAAGAGAGAGCCCTTAAAAGTCCTTAGGTTCAGGATATGACGGGCTATAACCTGTCGTAAGAGGTGTGTCCTGACGGGCCCAGCTGTTCCTTTCTCGGCTACTTGAATCTTTAAGGAGGTGATTTTTTTCTGTGCTACTTGAAACAATAAGGACATGATAGCTACTGATTTGCATATCAATCAATAGTTCATGCTTATTCGTCTTCCACTGCCTAAAAAGAAGAAGTCAAACCCAGTAAAACTAGTACCATGCATGTTGTAGAATATAGTATAATGCTAGACGTAGATATAGTCTCACATACCACTGTATTTTCTTTCTTATGTTGTTTGTAACTGCAATTAGCCCTCGGGCATGTATTTGCAATAAACTTTCAGTTATAAACCTGCTTTTCTGACAACTCTCGAGTGTCACTGACGAAAGGTAGTGGATGCTACCTGAAACGTCTGACCGTTTCCAAAATCATATCCAGTTGCTTGAGTAACTGTTTATTGACGAATTACCTGGATGTCTGACCTTCACCGACCTTCAAGGACGTGAAAAACACTTAAGTTTAAGAGTAGAAGTCATTCGTCCACATCATCAAGTGTCCATTCTAACAAATGCAGTGGCGGCCTATCAGCAAGTACATAATTATGTTTATATATTCAGTCATTCAGTAAAATGTCGTTAAGATGATGATTTTATTTCCTCATAACTTAAATTCCATTTATGATAGGTCAAAATAACATCCTTGCACTTTCAATACAAATTCCTGGTTTAGGTAAAAATCTACCTTAAAGTTTGTATCAGGAGTCATGTGAAAAAGCCTTAATGGAATATAAAACTTATGTTTGTTCAAGTGGCTCACAGGGGTGTAGTCTTCATATAATCTCTTGTCTTAATTCTTCCTATGTTATTTACATTACCAGAATGTTCACATAGGAATACTTTAGTTATAATTATTTTAAAGTGAATGGCTTTGCCTTTTCACAACATTGCCGACTATATACATACAAAACAAAGGCTCTTGCATTGTAAAAAAAACACACTTGCACTGTATCGTCCTGGTTTAAACAACATTCTGGTTATAAATTAATAGGGGTGGGGATTCTGGTATACAATCAAAGATGTAACTCTTTGTGCATTCTTAAATGTCACTGAATTCATCTATTTACACATTTAGTGGCCTGTAAAGTGTTAAGTAAAGTACAGAAATACAACTTATTGCAGCAGTGTTTGGTGACGAGATATACAACATGTAATGACAATGAACATTATTGCATATCCATGCCCAATTGCAACATGGGCTAAGTCAGACATTCAACTAAAGTAGAAGAGTTTTCTTTGACTATCCAGAACAATACCTGATCCTAACCCAAACCCATTCAAGCATATAACTTGATAGGCACGGCTCTGAATAGTCCAGAACCGTGCCTGCTATATTGCAAATCTATGTTCTTGGATACGCGGAGACTATCCAGAACCGTGCCTGATCTTAAGCCTAACTCTGGATACGACAAGACTAAGATCTAATTGAGCTACGCCGGCTCCTCTATAGTAATGCGGTTCCCAGCCGGAATTGCCTCATCTCTGGACGACCAGTAGGGTATCCTCGCAAGGTAATGAATGGCGGTGGCCCCTCGATGCCACAGTAGTGCTACAAACTGCAGAGACAAGACTATAGCGTAGATGACGATGAAGACGGTGCCCATGATGTTCTGCTCCAGCACCATGAGTTGCGCGGTGGAGGCCAGCAGGGCGATGGCGGCTAACCACAGGACGTTTATAATCACAACAGCTGCAAGGACCTGGAATCATGTGGAGTGTGAATTGTAGACATGCCAACATGGGCTATACTGTTGAATAGTAGTGTACAGGTGCAAGACACACACGCACGCACGCACACACGCACGCACAGTGACACATACACACACGCCCCCCCCCACACACACATGCACACACACACACACACACAAACACACACAACACAGACTGATGAATATTAGTCAAAACTCTATGCCACACCCTTTCATTGTAAATGCTCTAAAATTGGTCATACACACACACACACACACACACACACACACACTCACACACACACACACACACACACACACACACACACACACACACACACACACACTCACACACACACACATAAACTGCTAAAGCTAAATCATCACCTGATTCCTGAGGTCCTTGAGCTGAGCCTTGAGTCCGTCCGTGTTGGTGAAGGCGTCATGAGAAGGGTCCAGGCACTGGTCCCTCAGCGTCTGCCAGAAGCGCGCCTCCCGTCGCTGGGCCGTGTTCCCGCGGTGAAGGTACTTCCAGCGCTTTGTGGCGAGGGCCTGCCGGGCCTTACGGATTCGCTTCTCTGTTGAAGGGAACAAGGATAAGTCGAGAAATAGTCATGCCTTCAATTACCAGAGATATCAACCAAGGTTTGAGAACCGTTTTCACAAATTCACTTTTTCCAAGAGCAACCTTTTGAGTGGAACTCACCGTAGGGGCACCATCACTAGATAATATTGCTTGCAGCTTAGATGTAGTGTTCGCGCAGTGTTATTTGAAGAGGATGTTATTTTGGGAGTTCAATTTCAGAGTCCTTACTGACGACATGCCTTTCTTTATTTAATAGTTTATGTTCTTTTCAGCCTCAAGACAAAATTCAGTCTTCAAGACAAAGTTGATGAACAGTACTAGTCCATCAATGATAGAGGCGTCGATTTTTAGTTTAAGTCTTACCTCGGTCGTTTGAGCAGCTCAGCATCTGTATGGCGAGCAGTATCTTGGTGATGTGTCCTGAAAGATAATGAACAGGACAATGTAATGTATGTTTAATTTTTTTTATCCAAGACAGAACACAGCAATCATTATGATATTAGTAGCAAACTTTCCCACAGACAGTGAATATATACTTACCTTTGTTGGTGACGCCTATCTTCTAGGGCTAGGGCTAGGGCTAGGGCTAGGGCTAGGGCTAGGGCTAGGGCTAGGGCTAGGGCTAGGGCTAGGGCTACGGCTACGACTACGGCTAGGGCTAGGGCTAGGGCTACTTGCCTCTCTTGGTGACTCCTATCTCCACCAGATCCTGAGCAGTCATCCCCCTGAGATGCTCCATGCCATGCACCCCGCTGTACCCACCCTCCAGGAACCGGAAGTAGTACTGGCCAAGACCAAGGTCTCGAAGCCATGTGTCGATACCCAGCTGCAAAACAAAACAAGATGGCAGACTTTCAGGAAGTGTCTTGGGTTTTGTGAATATATTGGAACTGTATGATTGTAATATATGATCAGGTGGAAATACCTCATTGAATTAAATCTAATGGCTAAGTACAAATAGTACTCGCCCAGGCCCAGGTCATGCAGCCACGTGTCAATACCCAACTACGAAACGAAACAAGAAATCAGAGAGTTTGAACTTCCGGGAAGTAGATGTAGTTTGTGATAACGAATTGCATCATATATTGCATTATATTACTCATGATTGTATGATGAAACTTCTTCTGCTATTACACTATTGTCTATCTAATGAGTATTCTGACCACATCCTCGAACCCAGGGTGTACCGGGTCAAAACCCTGTCAATCAAGTAAAACCCAATATCGCTTTGGAACCCACTCACTTTGGAACCCAAACATACAAACATACAAACCTACCCTAAATTAGTGCCACCCAAAACAATACTTCGGTCCCAGAAGTAAAGTAACTTTTGTTGCTTACTTGTCTCCCAGTAGGTAGGATGGGCTCCGGTAACTGGCTTATCGCTCTCGTCAGCTTCAACACGTGACCACGCATCCGGATCCCCATGTACCGAAGGTCCTGTAGTTAGAGAAATGAGGGCTGAATTATTATACAGACCTCACCTTAAACCTTTGTCTCTGAATCATGCGGTATATCACAGTTGGAACTAGGAATGTAGCTTATAGCTCATGGCCTCTTGCATCCTCCCCTCTGACATATTGGTTTGCTCCATCTCTTGCCTCTGACACTCATAGATATGTTAATGACCAAATCAGACTCTAAAACAGGTGTCAGCTTACTGAAGATGCCCAAACCTGTAGAGTATGTCACTGCCTGGGCCCTCGTCTATTCTAAGGTAAGTCCCTATTGATATTGTGTGATGAAACTAAGACGTAGGTGTTGTGTATGTATGGGGCTAGTACGTAGAAGGTTAAGGAGAAGGTCTATTTTTGGCGTAACTGAACTACGATACACAATGTAGTTTGACCACAACTTACCTCTTCCTTTATGGTGCATATAAAACTGGTGTCCTCATAGCCATTGTCTAGAAACTCCTTCTCATAGCGCTGAGGGGGGAAAGAAAATAACAGGGTTATTACTGTGTAAATAACACAATCATCACTCAAAATGGGACGGGTAACCCATTCATACTTACTCTCCAAGCAGAGGTTGTGGGGGAATGATCGTTGGCTTTTTATATATGGCCGTTTTCTTTTGTCGCTACATACTGTGATAATCATAAAAATTGGAGATATTGCATCTAGACAATCTATCATGGATATTCATGCAATCTATGTAGTGTAGATCATTAGCTTTACCTTCATCCCAATGTCCTTCAGCCAGGGAATAGCCTTTCGTCTGAAGGTGTCCTCCCCTCCTGTTCCTGTGGTAGTCATAAAGTGAGAAATGGTTTATTGGTAAAGACAACATACAGTTACAGTCATTTGTAGTTCCTCTGTCAACTGTTGTACAGTATATTCTCTGCCAGCCAAATGCTGAGGTTCGACCACTGGTTGGTTGATTGCTTCATCGCCTGCATAGATTTTCGGCCCCCTGGCAGCTTTCCACAGTACTGCAGCAGAATGTCGGGTTTTGATATCTTACGTTCTGGACATGCTACGGTCATGATTTTAGGGTGAAAGATACTAGATATTATGGCTCTTACGTCCGTTCTTGTCGCAAACGTACACTTTGGACGTAAACATGAACTTGAGGTGACTTACTGTCTATGTCGCTGTACATGGTGTTAACTTCGTTATCCAGGTCCTGGTCCTGACCTGTGGAGGTCTCTGATCGGGTGCTCTGTGCTCTGTCCTGCTGAATATACAAGAAAGACAGCCTTTAGTCCTAACAAGCACTTCTTAGGCAGGTTGGACAGTCGTGTAATGAATAAAACAAGAACTTTGCATTAAGTTTATAAGATATATCTATATCCTTGAAACATACCAGGAAGGATGAAGTACGGTTTGCAGCCGAGTTACCCCTGGGCCTCTGGTTAGAGTTAGGATCGCCAGAACTCGAGTACGATGAACTTGGAGAGTCTGAAAATATATGTCTTTATGATAGCAATTCACGATGAGTGTTTGCTGAAAACAGTCCAGAACCCAACACACTTGTTAAGAAGAATACTGGGTAACCTGGTGGGCTTGTTAAGTACCTGAGCCGTAGTGAAGCCCCATTGCACTTTAGTAGCTAACTCGAAAAAGCATCACGCTTCACCGCAGTTGAGGATGTCAAAAGACAAACCGGTTTAAGCCTTGGTGCCATTGGTTACCACCAGCTCCCTACTGTCACTCAGGCTACTGACAGTAGGGACCCAGCAGTAACTACAGAGGATGGCACCCAGGCTATGCCAGCGGTAGAGTCCTACCTGATAGAATAGGCCGAGTCTCCTCAGAGAAGTCCATGCCATAGCTAAATGCACATTTTTAAAGCAGTAGCAAATCCGCATTGCAGTCTATTAGCTACTCGAAAAAGCATCATGCTTCACCTCAGTTGAGGAGGACAAAAGAAGGGGACAGAGTGCTAGTTACCACCAGATCCCTACTTTCATTGGTTACTCAGACTGAGTAGCGAGCCAGCAGTTTGCTACAGAGGATGGCAATACTAGCGGCAGAGTCCTACCAGATAGAATAGGCCGGGTCTCCTCGGAGTAGTCCACGTCGCAGCACTGTTTGCCGCACCGTTTGAAGAAGTTCCCGATTCCTGCTATTATCTTCTCCATGGACCAGGCAGAACCTCTCTCGGACAACTGAAAAGTCAGCAAGAAATATGTCAAGACTCAAGAGTGTATTATATTACTAGGTTAATGAGTTTGAGGACAGGTGTGTCTGCGTGTGTGTGTACAAAGGGACTCAATAGACACCACCAGTGACAATGGTGTGGACCATGTTTCTACGAAATCTCAGTGACATACCAAAACTTTTTTTCAAAATCCATCAAAAGGATTGTGAGATAGTTATACTTATTTTAAGTGATAGAAATTCTATACTGTTTGACAAGAAACACATCCTGTCCTTACCGCTGACTCCCTGGTTCCCCAGGACCGGTCGTTCAGGTTGCAGATGGAGTAGATGAAGAGGACGAGGTAAGCGGAGGGCAGACACAACACGTACAGCAGGCCTGGGATGATGCACAGGAACTCTGTGGATGGGAAACATTTTTCACAGCTTCATCTTATGTTCACATCTTAAACATTCGTTCCATTAATGAGTTGACCCAAATCCCTCAAGACCACGTTCAACACAACACGTACAGCAGGCCTGGGATGATGCACAGGAACTCTGGGGAAGAAATACAATTTCAAGTAGAAATCTGGTATTTCAGACTTTCTGGAAGTGTTTTGGTATTCTTGAATGTACCGGTAACTGTTTTGTGTGGTCATGGGGGAAAACCCAGAGCTAAATTACATCGCAGAAAGGATCATTACTCAGATAGATAACATCATGACGTCGAACATCATGGCTTATGTTTCATACCTTGATTGCAAAGTACACATTCCTGGCGACCTACCACCCGGGGCTTGTCGGGTGACAACCCTGTCAATCAACTGAAATCCAATCTCCACCCACTCACTTCCAATGCTCACGACATACAAACTCATTATTTATAAACTAGTGCCTCCCAAGCCAATACTTCCGTCTCGGACGTAAGAATCTATAAGTAAGAAATAGGGTCTCAACACGTTTTAAAAGCTGACTGAAAGAGACATGTCACCTACCTGTTGGGTGTAGTATTGCAGCTACCAAGTGCAGCGCGGCCAGCACACCCAAGTACAGCGTGGACACGCTTGCCGGCAGAAAGTCAGTGGAAGTGCCATTAGACATAGCAGAGAACTGCTGGAACTGTTGGTCGACAAAAGCTCCCAGGAGGTCGCTAGAGGTCGCTGTGATGTCACCAGGCGTAGTGATCTGCTGGACCTGGAGGTGATTTGGCACTGTGGGCTGTTGGACTGAGCCCGATAGGAGGAAAGAAAGTAGGTCCTCTGTGGTCGGCTTCGGCGTTGGTACAGGTGCAATGGTTGGAGGAGTCGGACTCGTTGGCTCTAAAACGATAGAACAGTGCAACACAATGAGTTAATGGCCGTGAAGGTATCTAAATAAGTAATGGAAATGTATGTAGTATGTCTTTAAAAGATGACCAGGTAAACCGACTACAAATGTTGAAAAATCATTGGAAAAGTCATATTTCCGATGCGATCAGAGAAGTAAACTTTGGCTACAATAAGATGACTTCCAAGCTACTCCCAACCCTGCTCCGACTTTGGTCGGGAAATGGTCCCAAGCAAGTCGTAGGAAGGTCCTGAATGTGCTTTAGTGACTTGAATGCTGAATCCAGAACTGTGCTTTATCCAGAACAATGCTCAAGCACGGTTCTGGATAGCCCACACTTCCAGAACCGTGTCTGGGGCAAATCGACTATCCAGAATCAGATTGAAGGACTAGACAGGCGCGGTCCTTGAGACAACAGGCCTTACCTGGCTGAAAGTCCTCCACCACGGATATGGCCAGGCCCTTAGCATATATACATATAAGTTTACATTCTTGGATACAAGGGGACTATATCCAGAACTGTGCCTGACCCTAACCCTAACACATTCAGGTACAGAACTACATTGAAGGTAGGCACGGTTCTGGATACAACAGGGCCCGAAAGGCCTTACCTGGTTCGAAGTCCTCCACCACGGATATGGCCAGGCCGGTCGCCACGCCGATCATCACGACCGCGAAGAAGAAGGTCATGACCTTGGAGGCCAGCAGCTGAGTTTTCCCGGAACCCCAGACGCAGATCAGCATGTAGATCAACACGATCGCGGACATCAGCAGCAAAGTCTGGTAGCTGGCAGGACAACGGAAAGGAATAATTATTGATATGTATACCTTCGTAGAAAGAAAATATATACTGTTTCTTCTTCTCCAAATAAATAAGGTCAATGACCTAGACCAGACGTATGTAACCATGGTAACTTGGTGTTGTAGCAGACACCCTCTGATGGTGTTGGGTTACATTATGTAGCAAGTGGCAGGACAAAGTTGGAGTGGCTGGTCACCATATACATATGTGTTTGAGTAAGAATAAACAAAGCACTAGTTAGTATAGACCGTGTATCTCGTCCTCAATACGAAGGGTTGAAAGTGAGTGGGAGGAGATTGGGTTTTCATTGATTGACAGGGTTGTGACCTGGTATAACAAAAGTAATGGCACGTAGATGTGGAACATGTGGAAAAGCAAGGCCTGGTGGAGGCTAAAAGAAAAGGACAACTCTGCGTACCTCTCGAGGTTGATGGAGTACTGCAGCCCGCCCGCGATGATGAAGAGCACCGTTGCCGGGGCGATGAGAGACGAGAGGAGGAGCAGGCTGACGTACAGCGCGTAGAACAGCGAGAAGCTGTCATTGTTCCTCGCGATCTTACGGGTGTACTTCAGCAGGAGGAGTAGATTCGCCAGGGTAGACGGGATCCAGCTGTGGCGTAGGAATCCAAACATACAAACTTAGATACAAGCATAAACAAGGGCCACTCAAAACAATACTTCTGCGTGTACTTCAGCAGGGGCCGCAGGTTCTTCAGGGACGATGGGAACAAGCTGTACAGTAGGAATCCAAACATACAAACTTAGCACGTATTAGGGACACCCAAAACAATACTTCTGCCCCGTGTACTTCAGGAGGAGTAGCAGGTTGGCCATGGTGGATGGGATCCAGCTGTGTAGAACCAAAAGTTAATAGACTAGTAGTAGTCTCTTAGGAATACAAACCCACCCTAATTTAGGGCCACTCAAAACAATACTTCCGCGTGTACTTCAGGAGGTGCAGCAGGTGCTGAGTAATGTCAAAGTTAAAAAAGTCTTCTTAGGATCCCAGACATGCAAACATAGCATAAATTACTTTCGCCCCAAACAATACTTCCATCTCAAAAGTGAAAACAGTCCAAAGTTCTGTAAATGCTTTCATCAAGTTGGAAGATACTTAGGGTATATAATTTTCTTCTTACACAACCAGTGAAGGTTCTCACCTGCTTACGTTTCGATGTCTATCAGACACCTTCCTCAGAGCTTCTGACTGGAGTTCTGCAACTCGCCGCTATTTATCGCCAAAGCAGGTGAGAACTTACTGGTTGTGTAAGAAGAAAATTATATACCCTAAGCCCAAAGTTCTCCTTACCGTCTGCGCTGCTTGAAGAACTCCTCCAGCGTGTCCGGGCAGAACGTCTTACACTCGGCCACGGCGCCGTACTCCAGCCGCCAGCCCTTCTCCACAAGCAGCGTGGACAGCCAACGGTCCTCACCCATGTCCTGGAAAACACGAAATCTGACACTTTCAACACGAAATCTGACACTTTCAACACGAAATCTGACACTTTCAACACGAAATTTGACACTTCAAACTTCCAGGACGAACCCTAACCATTCACTTCACAAGCCACCGGTCCTCACCCATGTCCTTGAAAAAAAAAACGAAATTTGCCAGTTCAACACGAAATCTGATACTTCAAACTTCCAGGAAGACCCCTAACCCTTCCCCATGTCCTGGAAAACATGAAACCTGAGACGTCAAACTTCTAGGAAGAACCCTAACCCTTCTCAACAAGCAGGATGGACAGCCAACGGTCCTCTCCCATGTCCTGGAAAACACGAAACCTGACACTTCATATTTCCAGGAATAATCCTAACCCTCTCCCTTGTCCTGGAAAACACGAAATCTGACACTTTAAACTTCCAGGAAGAACGGTTCTCAACCAGCAGGATTGACAGCCAACGGTCCTCGCCCATGTCCTGGAAAACACGAAATCTGACACTTTCAACACGAAATCTAACACTTTCAACACGAAATCTGACACTTTCAACACGAAATTTGACACTTCAAACTTCCCGGGAATAACACGAAATCAGAGACTTGAGCCCATTGAACAATTCTGTGCACGTGTGGATGTCCGGTTCAGCACCAAGGACAAACCCAGGACCTTGTGGTCTACAAATTCGAAGCAGATACTGTATCTTTTTTAAAAAAAGCAATGGAAAAATTCTCACCTTAGTGAGAAACTGGCTGGGTTTCCCTTCCGACACCATGGAGGCGTACTCTGGTAGGACCTGCCGCAGTGCGCGTGCGCGGAACACGCTGAAACACCCCGGGCAGCAGAGTACAGACCCATAGACATGCTCCGCTACCTTCTGGAACCAATGGCCTGGGGAAAGTAATGGCACAATCATCGTATATTAGCAAACCATGGGAAATAATTGAATAGTTGTACGTGTTATGCAAAATTCAGCCATCTCTCAAAATCCAACAGACAAAGCCCCCATGGCCCAGGAGGCCCACATATACTTGACCTGGACCTCGATCTTCCCAATACATACCCGCATCATCACAATTCATACTGTCTTGCTGAAGGTATACATACTGACCACACACAGTTTTGCAGAAACACAGACATAGAACATATACTTCCATTTTCATGGAGGTACATGTAGTACACACCGTTTTTGAAAGTCAGTTTGCTAGCACATTTTCCTCTTACGATTTTCCCGATCATCCGGTTTCAAGTTCCAAATATCAGTATCGCTCAAACTGACCTATGTAAAATAGACAATGGTGTAGGTCTTGGTAGACTCACCGATGGCATAGTCAAATATCTGGTACCAGACGACGGGTCCGGTGCCGCTGGGGTGCGTCCTGCCGCTGACGGCCCCCACGGTCCGGTCCCGGCTGGCCAGGTCTAGCAGCGCCGCCACCGACTCCGGCGTGAACTGCACGTCCGCGTCAGTCGTCAGCACGAAGGTCTCGTCATCAAGCTGGAATACGGCAGGGAGAAACGCGCTTTTGGTCACTCGGAAGTCCAACACAAGAATACTTTTTCTTTGCGAATGTACGACGAATGTGAGTAAAACCGCGCTCAAAATTACGACCCCGCCACACATAGCCGGTGGTTGGCTGGTGTTAGGGAGTGGATCAAATTTGACTCAAATTTAACCCAGATTATATCAAATAGAAGGACTGGCGTGGCCAGACAGCTCCCGCATTTCAGCCAACCTTTGGTTGGTTGGCGGTGGGGGAAGGTTCTGAATGTGTGAATGGGGCTTTACTTGGTCGATGTGGTGCGGCAGCACCGGCAGCCGGCGGTAGGCTTGGCCCTCCCTGTACCGCGGCGGCAGTGAGTCGGTGTCGGACCCGCGTCCCCGCTTGGAGGCCCGCACAGGATGCTAGGCCAGCCCCCAGTTCAAGCTGTAGGTTTAGGTAGACTCACCTGGTCTATATGATGCGGCGGAACCGGCAGCCGGCGGTAGGGTTGTCCGTCGTACCGCGGCGGCAGAGAGTCGGTGTCGGATCCCCGCCTGTCCTCCCAACTGGACTCGCCCTCCGCCACGGTGAAGTACTCGTCGTCTGTCCGGGTGTCTGGAGTCGTGCTGCCGTCGTTATCCTCTTCGGGGCTGAAGTAGGGCGTGGCGCTTGTGTATCTACAAAGAAAAACGGGCAAGGGGAAACAAATTTATGGAGAGATCGCATTCGTCGTAAACCGTCAGTGTACTATTTTGATGTCGTAGACCTTTCAAGCACACTGTGACACCGACACAAACCACCTCTAAGTGTTTGACACGCCTTTTTGGTGTGTTTGACAAGCCTTTTCCGGAGCAAGGTAGCTGCATTTTTTGGAACATGTGCATGACTGTCCTCAGAATTTCCTAAGATCGTACGACACTAAGCGACTGACATCAACTATCTAGAGTCATGCCTGGAATAACGTACGGTTTTGGATACAAATAACAGTGCTATTGATCAAACGAAACCTACCTTGAACCTACAAGGGTACCTTCCGCGGGATTGAAGTAGGCCTCGGCGCTCATGTACCTGTAAAAAAAAGCAATGGGGAACAAGTTAAGCTCACGATGAATCTATGATAGACTGCCAGAACTATGCCTGAATGGGTTAGGGTCAGGATCAGGCAATGTTCTGGATAGTCTCCGCGTATCCAACGACGTAAGTTCCCCCGAAGGTTCTAGATACTGGTCGACTAGACTACTCAGATCAGTGCATAAGCGTGGGTCTTGATAAAGCACGGTTCTGGATATGCGTGGTGTGGACTACCCAGCACCGTGCCTGATCTGAGCAGACGGCTCTGGATTGAGCACGGTTCTGGACACAGCAACATAATTACTGATTAAAGGAAACCTACCTTGACTCCGAGGAAGTTGTTCTGTACTCGTTGGAGTCGTGGAAGCCCTCGTCCCCCAGAGGCGCGTCCGAACTCTCGGTCACCAGCTCGTTGTCGATCTCCGAGTCCTCGCCACCGGACGCGGACATGAAGGACGGGGAGTCGGCGGCGCGCTGCTGGGCGGGCGCGGCTTGCAGCAACTCTCTCTGGCGGAGGTCCAGGATATAGGACAGGTACATCACCTGCAGACGGTGGGAAAAGGATGGAACAGAGTTAAGCAACAACTCTCAGGCAATGAAAGTGATTGGTTCAGCGACAGTTGGCTGCCAAAACTGCGAAGCACAGCACCGCCAGTTAGCCAGAAACAAACAGCAAACTTAGCGTCCAACTTAGTGCTGTGGTCTGCAAAGGAGGCCTAGAAGACAGCCCCTCGCTCATGTGGACTTGCTGAAAACAAAAACTGGTCTACATGCTGATAATATGGGGAAGCTATGCAAGACAAGAGCTTCTAAGACGGGCAGCTGATGTGGTTCTTGTGGCAGAAGACTTGCACTAGGCATAAGTTAGTAATTAAAGATGCATCTTACCTGGCTCCATCTTTTCTTCTGCTTCACCTTCTCGGGATCTTTCATGTGGATGTAGAAGGGCATTCCGCCCGGCAGCTTCCACCTGGAGGAGGATAAGAGCTTTTTAGAAGCAAAGAAATATATTGACATCAAGAACAAGATTATCTCTTACCATGTATGGTATGCCGTGGTGCTGTCCAGGCATAATTAGCGTGCGCTAATGGACCTCACCTTACCTAATGTAGGCATGCATGGGAGCCTGCGATGGTCTAGCTACCTGGGTTAGATTGGACTACACTACAGAGGATGAAGAGGGAATACTTACGAAGTCTCCATCTTCCCTGTACGTCTTCCACATGTTTACCTGTGAACCTTTTCCGCAAGAAGACAGCTGAATTTGGCAAAAGACTATCCCAAGTATGTGACTATCCCAAGGACGTAAATTTTCCCCAGGCATGGTTCTGGATAAAGCAAATGGGATCTTACCATAGCTGCACCCGTATGGAGTCTCCATTTTCCTGGCGTCGGCGGGCGTGATGTCCAACTTCTCATCCAGCAGGGAGACCAGCAGCAGCGCGAACTCGTTAAGAACTAACCCGCACAAAAAACAATACCGTCGCACGACCTTCGTAAGATAATCTTACGACTTTGTAAACATGCCCTTACCATAGCTGCACCCCGTACGGTGTCTCCATCTTCCTGGCGTCCGCCGGTGTGATGTCCAACTTCTCGTCCAACAATGACACAAGCAGCAGCGCGAACTCGTTAAGAACCAGGCCGCGAACTCCGCCGTCCAGGAAAATGTGGCTCTCGTACCGCCATCTGGACAACAAACAAACAAACAAGCAAATAAAAAAACTCGTTCACCACAAGGCCCTGCACTCCTCCGTTCAGAAAGATGTGGCTCTCGTAACGCCATCTGAACATGGGAGAGCAAACGGTGTAAAAAAGGTAAAGGTAAATTAAGATAAGCCCAATAGACTCGGGCAATGGGTTGTGTGACCTGGGTGGAGTGAGAAAAGTGCTCATGTCAAACTGTGAACCAGATTACTAATATACTATTGTAGATGCAGGTGCAAAGATAGCCATGAATCATCAAAAACAGTCATGCAAGTTGTTGATTTCAGCAGCTGCAGAAAATTTCAATCATCAGGTAGGCATTTATCGCATAGGATTGAATGTGCAATTCTGGGTTGGAACTAAATACAGCGATGATTTAAAAGCTCAGTCTTGCAAATTTCAATTTCATAAAACGAGAGAAAACCTGTGCTTACTTGGACGTGCTGTAGACCCTGGACAGTCGGTAGATGCTGTGTAGAAGCTGACTCATCTCCTGTTCCGACTCCCGGTACATGGTAGTACACACGTACACACGTCCGCCATGCTTCACAGCGTGTGAGGGATCCTCTTCTTCTCTTTCGTTACTCGGCCACTCTTTTCTCCGGTTTAGCAGCAAGTTTTGCTCCAGGAAGATTCCGTTGTAGAACGGGCGGTAGAAGAGCGTCTCTTCCTTGGAAAGCGTTCTGGTGGGGGCTTTTCTCACTACGAATATCAAATACGTGGCTTGCGTTGCCCAGAGTAACGCGCACGTTCCTAGCAAGATTACTTGTTGTTCCGTCGAAATGTCGTAACAGGGGAATAGGTTTAAGTTCAAGAGTGGGTATTTGCAGACGGTCAGTGTCAGCACGACCGCCGTTGGAGTACACAGGAACAGCGGAATTACAAACCCGACAAACTGAATGCACGCAGAACACGCTAACCAGGCGGCAAGGTAACCTAAAAAACTGCTGAACAACTGGACAAGAAACGGCGCTAGCAAAGGACTGCTCCCCATCTGTGCAAAACCCTCGGAGTATATCTCGAATCCTCGGTTACTACTAGGATACGCGACGTAGTTGTAGACGACGATCGCGAGAGGAGTCAACACGACTTTGAAGAAGCTCGACAACAAGGTGGCTTTGAACCTGGCACTGTACAGGTGTTCCTCGTACGGTAACGTTCTGACCAGGTGAGGCTTGGACATCTGTTTCTGGGCGAACTTACTCCACGTACACGACAGGAGGAGGATTATACAAGGCAAACTGATCCGTTGGGATACGTCTAAGTCGTTTTCTTTTACAAGCACGGCGATTGCACACAGAGCGGCAACGTTGGCGAATCCCGACAAGAACTTGAGGAATTTCTCGATCTTCCTCGTGAGGTTGAAGTCGTTCGGGAAGTTGTGGTGTCTAGTCCTGACGCTCTTGACGGCGTCTTCGAACAACTGCGCGCCGACCGTTCCCGACATGAGCAGGACTAGCACGGGAGGGTCCAGGACAGGCGCCAGGTCAAAACAGAACACTGTGAGGCACCCGACCTCCACTACACTGCACACAAGACCCTGGGAATACAGAATATAGCTATTACTTTCTGTTTTTAAATTTCTTTCATTACCCTACACTTGTGTATGTATGTGTATACAGAAGCGTGCTTCATCCAGAACAATATCCTTAGGCACGGTTTTGTATAGTCCATGCGTATCCAGAACCGTGCCTTGGATAGATATGCGTTTTTGGATGCTATCCAGAACCGTGCCTGATCCTAACCCTTTCCGACTCAGGCATAGAACTAGATAGGCACGGTTCTGGATACGATAAATGTACATGTTATAGTGGCAGTAGCCTAATCTCCAAGCAGATCCTAGGGTGGCGAAAGACAGTACCAAATTGGCCAGGCAGTATCCGTTCGCCAGAGAGAGTCCGCTACGGCACACAATGTATACTGCCTGGCCACTTTGCCACCCTAGGATCCGCTTGGAGATTAGCAGTAGACAGACTCACCAGTATAAGAGCCCGCCAAGTCGGCCACGGATAAGTGTTGGTCTTCTTCCCGAAGGAGCTACAGGTAACACACCTGAGTACCGTGAACATCTGCGGAACCACCAGCAGCAGTCCCACCATCACCGCCCGGGCGCTGTCCAGCTCACGCCTCTGCGTTACCATGGTACCCGTTACCATGGTTTCCGTGGAGCCAGCTCCGGCATCTTTCACTACTGCAACAACAGTCTGTTCTTTGAGAGCGCGACTTTCCTGTGGACCAGTGTTCGTGCTTTCCTGTGGACCAGTGTTCGTGCTTCCCTGTAGAAGTATCACCAGTGCCGTCTTACTGGCACAGACGCACGCGAGGACGGTCAAGAAGGTGAAGAAGGAGAACAGGATCTTTAAGACGTGAGCCCAGACGGGGTACCGGGAGGTCAAGACCTCCTCCTCGGCGTCCTCCCCGTCTCCCTCGGCGGACGCCGGCCGGGCCTCGGGCGGGGCCCCGCTCACGGTTAGGGTGATCTCCAAGTCGGAGTAGGACCGGGCCCGGGCTGCAGCGCTGGGGTTGGCGTTGGCTGGTGGGGCGGCCATAGTCTACAGGCAGAACTTTTGTTGGCAACAAGATAGTCACAAATTGGCAAGAGAGTACACTTTGTTATTTACAATTTCACAATCCTTGGTTTAAGCCTTCTGGATGAGTTCTAAGTTGGTGTACACTGTCGCTAGCGCTGTTGCCTGCTCGGGCGGCCATGATGGTGCAGAACATTTCGCTAGAAATGATTTACGTTCGTGTTAAGTCCTCTCAAACCTGGCTTTGTCATCCTGTGTTACGACAGTGTGGACGGATGGAGTGGCAACTGGCGGACTTTCGTCAACTGAAAAGGAAAAAAAAAAACGAGGATTAAAATGTGGTCAACAACAAAACACACACTTGATTATGCATACCCATGGACAAAGATGGGTATTCTTAGAGCATCATTGATTGTACATCGCCGGAGCTTGTTCAGATGACTGATGAAGAATTGAAGGCCTCGACGGTTTGAAACCTCATCAATTACGGAGGGGGTAAACACAGGAAAGATTTTGTGTTCGCTGGGGCTGATTTTGCTTGTTGTTATGATTATTTTTTCAGGTCGTTTTAACAATCATTGTTGACGGCTGATGCAACCTCGTACCAAAATAGAATACCGTATAAGAAATGGGTTTTTACATCCGACGTTTTGGTGACCGTCTGTCATCTTCTTCAGGGAAAAATGACTGGTTCTGATTCGTACTGGAGCTATGTGTCCCCGCTGCAATATTACAAATGAAGATCGCACAATTGCCAATACCAATCCATACCGTCCCTGTGCTGTTTTGATTCTATTTTATCAGTGACCTTTGAATGCTCTATTGCACCTCCATGGCTTTTCGTGAGAAAGTCAAACAAGTTACATGTTAGATATCTTTTGTGCCATGCCATACGATATCTTCTATAAACACATAGTTATGTGAAAATTGTGAAAAGATCCAACACATGAGCGTTTATGCCACTATTTTTAGAGTGTTTCAGAATAGAGGGGTCTGCTCCAAAATAATGTCATATGATACAAGTTAGATAAATATTGATTTTCGTACCTGCAGCTGTCTGAAAGTTTAACCCTTGCTTGTCGGCAAACTGTGCCACAGTCTAACCTTTGATCCTACTCTGACCGGAGTTAACCCTTTTTAACTACGTATCAAATTACGGTCTCATATTTCATCCATCAGACTCCAAACACGGAAACACGGACACTATATTATTTTCATCACCGAGAGTTTTCAGTTTGCGTCATAGGTACAAACGATGGGGTTTTGTCGTTATTTAAGACGGCTCATCTAATTACGTATTTAATTACAATATCATATTACAGCTATCAGATACCAAGTAAAGGAACACCGACTTTTATCTCCGTTACCGAATTTGGAGTTTGTAATTTGCATTTGCAGAATGGGTACAAACAATGGGAAATGGTTTGGTCGTTTTTTGAGAGCAATTAAGTCACGGGGGTTGATCAAATACTGACCAAAGTCTGATAGCAGATGTCATGAGAACACACAATGTAAGATGATAGTGATAAACTTTGTTGTGCAACAATTGCACAATGTACAAGGTATTGTATCTACTGCTACATAATAACAACCATACTGCGATACTAATATGCCTTTAAGTACAAAGACTATATAGCATGCGTTGAGAATGTTTCATAGTCAATGGTTGAATAGCTAGTGCTTAGGCATTCTTGAGACATTGTCCTATATGTTGTCGCAAGTCAATATGTACTTAATATCACCTGACGTAACCTGTGACCATAATGTCATAACCATATAGGCAGACTTCGAAATACTTTTTTTGTCAGAGATATTTGAGATTGCCCTACTTGTAATGCATTTAATGTCCGCATATTAACTATGCTATTTACCATGGGCAACATTGAATTCACTCAACTGCGCAGCTAGTAACGAAGTTTGTACTGACTTCTGTCTTAATAGACTGCACCGCAACCACGGTACCGCAACTGACGTCAAACTCTGAACAGAGATTTACTTTCATAGTAACAAGAGTCACAAGATTGTTCTAATTTATTCCGCCCCACCTCTATCTTACATAGAAAAGCGTGTGAGTCAAGGCCGACAGGTTATTGACAGAAATTAAGCAAAGTGCCGGAGGTAACAATGTCGATCTGTGATTACGTCTCGAAAAATCTCAGCGTGGGATATTTTCCACTCCCTAAAATTTTTTTCACTCTCACTCACCTACCTGAAAGGCGTGCCATGTAATCCAACGATACATTCCATGATACTGTATAACCGCTATACACAATGTACCTGAACGTTGGGAATCATTGTTGAGGTCTATCGCACCGTGTCTATCTAGTTCTATGTCTGAATGGGTTAGAGTCAGGATCAAGCACGGTTCTGGATAGTCTCCAAGAACGTAGGTTTGCCCGAACACAGTTTTGGATACGCGAGGGCTATCCAGAACCGCGCCTGTCTAGTTCTATGTCTGAATGGGTTAGAGGTAGGCTCAGGCACGGCTCGGGATAATCTCCGCGTATCCAAGAACGTAGATTTTCCCCAGGCACGGTTCTTGATACGCGAGGAATCGTGTCAGAACCGTGTTTGACCATGGTTCCACGGTTCTGGAATCTGGATACACCAGGGTCTATGACCTCTCACTGATAATGGAGAATGTCAAAGAACAAAGACCCGGCTGACGTAACCACACACTTGGTTGCACTGTAATTATTTTCCTGTCTTGCAACAAGTGAAACGTAAACTTTGAGTAAATATTGTTTATATTCCAACATGTAATCACAAGACGTGGTGACGGCACACTCAAGTTTTTTCAACTTATATTAATGCCGCCACCAACACAGGGGACAACACAATACTCATTTTCACCTGAGCGAAATGAGGAAAGTCGTGTAAAGTGCCTTTTCTAGGGGCACAAGATTAGTGGCATGTCAAGACTCGAACCCGGGACCTCTTGGTTCCGAGTAAACATTGCGCCACCACCTTTAGAAAAGGGGAAGTAATTCAGGCTGTAAATACCTGACACAGCTTGGTACGATCGAAACTCAAGGAAATTCCTTTTTCACACCCACGTCAGGTAACCAACACCCAGGGTAAAATATTTCATGTATAAAACAGTACACGTCTATGAATCATATGAATATTGAGTATTGCAGTGACAAATGCAAGACGTCTCAAATTACAAAATATCGCTACAATGTCACCATTTCCTCGGGATCCGTAAAATTCTGGGTTAAGCTTTTTATTCAAACAAAGAAACCAAAAAGAAAACAATGTGGTTTCTCTGTTACCAAAGGTGTAAACAACATACCCAACCTGACTTCCGCCAAGTTCGATACAAAACATGGCAGTGTTCATGCCTTGCTACAACGTATACACGTTCCCAGACTAATTATTGTGGCAACAAGTTGATACATCGGTAAACATGCTACAACCCGTGACGTTTGTCCAGACGTTGTTACTAATTAACTGTAGACTAGTATATGAACGTTTTGTTCGACACAATCACTAGGGTATAATGTAGTAGTTTACGCATCATTAAATCTGAGACATTACTGCTACAGCACGTAACTTTTCGGTCTTGTTAAGGCAACTTTCATGGCAACTGTAAATTCAGACGTGCTTCACAAAAACTGCGACACACCGTTAGAATAGCTAGCTGTGGCTAGCACACACAAATACTGAAATATCGGACAGGGATCAAACCCAATCCTATAAGTACAAGTTAGATCATGTCCGGATCACACGTAGGTGAACGTTACTCCCTAGCCTCCATAGCATGCCAAAAACTGGGGGGTTTGGGGGGTCTGCAGGATCTTTTATGTTCTATTTTCTGATTGCATATAGACAACATAGCCGGTCTGGTTGAGTTACCCCCGTTTTTAGAACTGGGCTGATCAGAAAACAGCCGAAGACCACCAAACCCCCAGTTCTATAAGCCTGCTACGGAGGCAAGTCACTTCCGGCTCACCTGTAGAAAACCGCCGCCGTACCTGAGGCTCTCACCTGCCGTAACCCGACCACCATCTTGGCTCCCAGTGCATAGGTACACCTTCTTGTCGCACCTGTGTGGTTCGGAACGTTGTTTGATGTAGGTTAGGTCTGCCGTACCCACGTGAGACAGGTCGGCGGCTCCGTATGTACACCTGAAGTGGGCAAAGTACGCCGCTTAGTGCTTGTGTAGTAATTTGCGGCACGTTCCACTTCCACCGGTAGAGCAGGTGGGTCAAAATCGTCCAAACTTTCACAATAACACCAAACTAACTTTTTTTCCTTATCAAACCCTGCCGAAACTACTTTAATAGATCGTAGATTACCATAAAAATTGTAGGTTTAATGATTGGTGATTGAGGAAAACAGGGGAAAGATTGGAGAAAAAATGTAATATTCCGTAACGCCCCCAAGATTGTAATAGGCAGGGCAAGGCACTACGTGCGTGAAGTGGGGACGTTGTTCTTTCTACCTGTTGCATAATAAATCACAGCCCACACACAGGGTTTCACTGCTGAAGGATGTTTCACTTTCTAACCGTCATAAGGGTTTTATGTGAGTCAGTAACAGTATTTCTGGACAGGAAACTGAACTTGGCTCTCGTTTGGTAAGGCGTTAGGCGCAACTTTGGTAAAAATCCTTTGGCTAACCTGAAAGGAAAGTCTCTCTTCACCAGTCGAGTCGTCGGTCCTTCTTTTTTTCTTGACGTCTCATCATCTTATCTATCACTTAGGCTAATTATCCGACCGTTGGACACCACAGAAATCTAACAAACAGTTTTCTCCAACCTTCTAAGTGAAGTTACTCTCCAAGCAGAGGTTTGGGTTTGGGGTTATTTTGGCGTGTTTTTAGGCTTTTTTATCGGGGTTTCTCTCTTGCACTGGAATTTTTTTCACACAACCCAAGAGAAACTCCGATAAGAAAAGCCTAAAACACGTCAAAAATAAACCAAAACCTCTGCTTGTACAGTAAAGTGAAGTATGCGATATCGAGAATGAGATACATTTTTTTTTATATTTACAGAACGGTACGTTTTTGTTTTCGTCCGGTCGGTTGATGACCCATGTGGTAGTGTTGCAAACTCGCGACAAATAAGTCAATTTATTGCGAATAATAGTTCTATCCATGGGATAATGCATGTACCAAATCTTACTAAAGTCAATATCATTTCAGTTTCTGTGCTTGGATAAGGAGTACTAGTAGTCTCTATATACAATGTTCTTGCTTCTTGCCCCAAGTTTTAAAATTGAATTCTTAATGATCTCCCATTCAAGGCCAATGACCGCAGATTGCATCATGCATCGATACTTTTGTCGCTTTTACATGGTTTTCTTAGTTTCACAGCAACATACTTTACTGTGCCGACGTTTCAGGAAACTATATTTCGTCTGTGCAGTCAAATATGTGGTTATAAAACCAAGAAAACTACGTAGAAGTAACTTATCGACCTCTTGAAACTGTTTTCAAAATACTTTAAAACAGTTTTAAAACTTTTATTTTGCATTTATAGACCCAGTTGGATATCGGATGATCTGTTCCTAACTTTTTGAGACAGTTAGGCACTTCATGGACGAGTTAACCGTATGCTTTTTTTTGTTAGAAGATGGGCGTTGTGGAAAAGTAAGTTATGATGATAAGTTGTTTATTGATATCGTTAATCAGAGCGCCCCACAAATGTACCCAGAGTAAACACTAGACCCGATGGTGCTCACGTGTAGCGGCACCAGTAGCAATGTGTGACACAGTTCTGACCAACATGTGTGCTCAACACACGGGGCAGTTATAGGCTAGCCTCGCCTAGTAATAGGCCAGGCTTTCCTAAGGGGCTATGGAGCAATATTCGGCAAAAATATTAGCCTCCACCAGGCTTTTCTGAGGGGGTACGGATTGTAGTCTCCCGGCCAGGCTTTCCTAAGGGGTTATGGATGTTAGCCTCCAATAGCTAGGCTTTTCTGAGGGGTTATTGATAGTAGGATTCGGTAAAAATAGTAGCTATAGCCTCCACCAGGCCTTCCTAACAGTTATAGGCTAGCCTCACCTAGTTATTGGCCAGGATTTCCTTAAGGGCTATGGAGCGACATTTAGCAAAAATAGTAGCCTCCTCCAGGCCTGCCTAAGGCGCCATGCATGGTAGGATTCAGCAAAACAGTAGCTACAGCCTCCACCAGGCCTTCCTAAGGGGTTATGGATAATAACTGTGTGGACAACTGACATCATCATATAGCAGTCACAAGAAGTACATATACATGTACAACAAACTCTTTATTTTCAACAACACAGATGTTAACAATTCATGTATTTCTGGTGCTAAATACAGAGGTTTTGTTATAGAAGACTTAACAAGACTTAAAGCTTACAGATTATTTTCTTCTTCTGTCACAAAATGTCTTACTATATGACAAAATAACTTTTTAGTTATTTTCTGGACCAAAAGAATGAGAAGAAATCTCTTTCTATCTGCAGTCATCCATGGGGTAAATTCTCTCCACCTCTTCTCTGTTGTCCACACTGTATCTCAATGTCATATCCAGGAACCTGGGTGGGAGGAAAATATGGTTTGATCAAAATGAAGTTGCGTAGAAACAGACTGATAAAAGGAGACTGATAAAAATGTGGACAGGTGGTCACTATAGACAGGATTTCTTAATGCTTGTGTCAGTGAGAATAATTATCTAAGGGACCACAAAAAAGATGTCACATTGGCCAGGTGGTCCTTAGAGCAAGTATGGGAGCCTGATATACAAATAGGATGTATATCCTTTTGTTTAAATTTTATAGGTGAAGTGCCCAAATGAATACAAATGCCTTTTATCCATATGTGAGACTTCATAGAACTACAAACCTGTTGTTTCTTGAATTTGGAGTAATTTTAAGGACCCCTTTGACTCTTGTGTCCTGTGTCACCTGGACAGGGTCATCTAAGGACATGACAGACTGCATCCAGTGGGTTTCTCTGTATGGGGGTTGGAGAGAAAATAATTAAACCATCGAGCATCTAGCCATCTGTATCTGTATAGCCGGTATAACCACCCTTCGGCGTAACACACCAGCTTCGCAGGCACGCGGCGCGGCGGCAGCTAGCTATATCAAACCGAACGACTTGTTACACTCAATCGATCTTTGCACATTTGATTGCAGGAGTTGTTTAAAGCTTTCTAGTGATGATGCCCCAACTGTGCTTGGTGGCAACAAGTTCCAGTCTACGATAGTTCTGGGGAAATACGAGTTTTTGAATACCTCATTTCTTGGTTGATAACTCTGATATTTGGAGGCATGACTGTTTCTTGTTCTTTTCTGGGCTGGTATCAGATACTTAGTGGTTGGTACGTCCACCAGTTTATTAGCCATTTTGTACATCATGCACAGCCATGTCCCTTATTGAGAACAGTGCTGTAGACTTTTCTTGGGGGGAAAAATAAACTTTTTTACACCTGTGACCGTGAATATAAATATCCAGCACCGTGCCTATCTAGTTCTATGCCTGAGTGGGCGGGTTAGGATCAGGCACAGTTCTGCATAGTCTCTACACACACACACAAAAAAAATCATAGATTTGACCCAGGCACAGTTCTTGATATGCATAGACTATCCAGAACCGTGCCTATCTAGTTCTGTGCCTGAATGGGTTAAGGTTAGGATTGTACATAAGGTCCTGCATATCCAAGAAGTGGATTTGCCCAAGGCACAGTTCTGGATATACTAGTATACTGAGCATGGTTCTGGATAAAGTATGGTTCTGGATATATGCATGGACTATCCAGAAATGTGCCTGAGCATGGTTCTGGATAAAGTATGGTTCTGGATACACATAGACTACATACTAGATAACACAATACATTTCCACTTCAGACGTACTGTGAGTATGGTGATGTTGACAGCAGCACCGGTTTGGGTGAAGGGAAGACGACATCAAACCAGGTGGAGAAACCCTGCATCTGTGACCAGCCGTAACATTTGAAGCTGAACGCAGTCTGTGGGGAAAGGTAGATAAAAGCTAAAGGTACATGTAAGTCCCATAGTTTTTTTAAAGCCATACAGACAGTGGGTTGTTAATCCACTAGCCTAAGGGATGATATAGAAATTATAGACATGACTTTGCATATTCTCACTCAGTAGTTACCGGCAGCTCTACAGCAGTCTGGTATATAAACATACTAGTCTGCATACATCTAACCACCACTGTATTTCACTCCCATTGTATATACACTGGTATTGATGTATTTAGCTTTGTATGTTTGTTAACTTGCTTTTAATATGCAATGATAGGGGCCTTTGAGCCTGAAATAAAGGATTAATACATTAAAAAAATCTTACAAAGATGTAGATAAAACAACAGACATACAACTCGAGGTAACACATAACAGATGAAAAGATGAAAAATAAAGATTGAGACTAAAGAAATAAAAGATGTCAGGAAAGCTAAAGGTTGCATGCCAGGAAAGCTAGAGTTTTCACCTTTACACAGGACAGGTCTTCCACCGATACTTCTGTAAGGTCAAAGGTCATGACCTTGGCAGGACTAGCCAGAATGTCCTCCATCTGGACAGGCTTTACCTGGACCTTTCCTGGGGAAACAGAAGAAAATTATCCCAATTTTTTTTAAAAAGTGTCAGAGAAGGAAACAGGAGTTTTCTTCTACGCAACCAAGATTGTCTCATCTAAGTGCTAATATATTTCGGTGTCTATCAGAAACCTTCCTCAGAGCTTCTGACTGGAATTCTGCTTCTCGCCGCTGTGTGTAGTCAACATAGGTGTTAAAGAGAAGTTAAAGAATTGTTCACATCTACCAATAGTACATATCAAATACTATGATTTTCCATCGAGGCAAACATGAGAGTTTTCAAAATATATTCGGATGCTTGAGTAACAGACGACTTTACTTATGCAAACATTATACAGTAGTATGAAAGAAAGAGATTTTAGCATTGGTAAAACCCAGTCCTACTCACTTGTGATACATCTGTGTGCGTACGGCTTCAGTGCTGACATGTCCACATGGTACTTAGTTCCTATGTCCTCCCAAAACTGCAACCTGGGGAAATTGTGAACAAGTGTTCTACATTGTAGTTAACTAACATACATGTATGTCTACCACTCTGACAATACATGTCTTAAGAGATCTCCAAAGCAACATCCCCCAGTATACTGCACTCCTACATATCTAAACTGTGCATACCTGGGGGTGCTGCACTACAGATCTCTCAAACACACAGTTTTTCAAAGTGGGGTATATATGTAACCCAGCAGATAAATCTTAAAGAAGGTTACATGTATCCTATGCCTCAAGCATTACAGGACATCAGAACTTAATTAAATGTAACTTTCAAAATTGATCACTCCCAGCACCAATACAATAAGCCACTGTTGTTCTCTATAGGTGTTATACAGAATGTCTCACCTATCTTCAGTGTCTGCATCAGCTATAGGAGCCAGGTACAGGCTGGCTTCTGAGGGTAGCATCAAACCTCCCTGTAGGATACACATTAACACACTTACTCAGGATCACAGTTCATGTACAATCAGATAAACCTAGCTATATAAGATCACCTAGTTGACAGGTATAGGTATAGAATACATAATGAAATATTCTGTTTTACCTTTTTCAGCCACTTGTCACGTACATGGATGACTGAGGGAAGCATTGACTCATACAGGAGAGAGTAGCCCTGGAAGGAAAAAAATAATTGTGCATCAATACATTTCCTTTGTTACAGATAAAAATTTAATGTCAAGAAATATAAACAGTAAAAACTAAGGTAAAAGTAGTCCCGTTGCATTTTTGTGCCAGTAAAGGCAGTGGGTGTGTCTACGCCATCGTATTTGTTGGAAGGCTGGGCCCATTCTTCCATGCAACAAATAGCCAAGCCTCATCACTATTCAGTGCCTCAAGAAATGTGTCATACCGGTAACAAAAAACAGCAAGTCCAAAATGCTGCTTTCCTCCCATCATCCTTACCATCCACTCAATTCCCAGAACATAAATTCTAACCTAGAATGCAAAGAAACTGAAAAACTGAGCACTCAATCTTGTGTATGATAGCCTTGCCACTGATGTGTTGTACCAAAGAGCTAACAGGTCCAAAATGCTGCTTTCCTCCCATCACCCTTGTTATGTTGGAGTGGAACAACCCCCACCTGCCACACAAGTAGACTAATTGGACTGTTCAACTGATTCTTAGTACGGACCTTTCAACAATCCGGTGCAATAGCTCAATAGGGAAGAGTGCTCGCTTTGAAACCAGGAGGTCGTGAGTTCAAACCCCAGCCGGGTCATACCAAAGACTAAAAATTGTACATTCTGCTTTCTCTGCTTAGCACCCAACATCTATGAGAAAGAGTGTGGGAAGGTCAAACACACAGCACTACCAGCGGGCTAGCATCCCTGCTGTAGAGCTTACACAAAGCAGTGTGGCCCAAGGGCTACAGAAATGGAGATGGGCACCACCCCTATGCTCTGCACAGAGTGGAATGGAACCTTTTTTTTTTTTTTCAACAGCCCTTACCATCCACTCGCTCACGATAACGTCCACTTTCTCCGGTAGCTCCACCTCCTCAGCTCGTCCATGCAGCACTTCAATCCTTCCCTCCATCCCGTTGGCTCTCACCACCTTCCTCGTCTCCTCTGCCAGAGCACTGGCCTCAATGGCGTACACTGGGAAATACAACATTAAGCTAAGCAAAGATTGGTGGGCATTCCTTTCATGTTGTGAGGGATTGCAGTCATTTCGGGTGGAAGCCCCTTGTATGAGGGAGCTTCAGGCAAAGCCTCAAGCCTCTACATGTAAAAGAACCCAACACACTAATCAAAAAGAGTAGGGGTGACTCAGCGTTGTTGGCTAGATATGAGAACTTTAGAGAAGCCACATTACACTATAACTTACTAGTACTTAAAATGCATTGTGTTTCTCCACATCAGTTGATGCTAACTACTTTACCTTACCTACTGACAAATACATGTCTAGGTACTTTACCATGATTTGAAAATATCTCAAACCTTCTGTTCATTACCCTAAAAATCTGGGTTATAACTATAAAACATGTTGACATGTACCCACCTTTCCTTGCCCCTGCCTGCACACAGAAGAGACTGAGGATGCCAGTCCCCGCCCCGACATCCACCACGGCCTTCCCTCGGATCTGTTCCCAGCAACGCAGGATGGCAAGTCTGGGGGAGAAAAAAGTTTTTTTCATACAAAACCTTTAAGTTTAGAAGATGTACATGTAGGTATCTAGCCTCCTTCGCAGACTTCGTCTTAATTTTTGGGGGGAGCGACGGTTAATGCCGCTGCATCAGAAGTCTACAAAGGAGGCTATAGGTACTAGTATCTCAGTATGGAATCTATACTGAGAAGCCTAGTGATCTTCTAAACTTAAAGGTTTTTATCAGCTGCATTAGTAAACAACATTGACAAACAAATAAATTCCCCACCTGTAAGCATTAGTCCTGACTGAGTCCGCCAACATGTCTGCATGAATCTCCATATCTGCATAGGCACTGGTTCACAGGGTGTAAAGTCAAGGTTAGAACACTTCAACATTCATTATAGGCAAAGCACACCATCTGACAAATGTGTATTTAACATTTTGTCATTGATTGGGCAATGAATCAGATGATTGAGAATACTAGTATGTAATGCTTTAAAATACTTTCAAATCTAAAGCAACAATAAAGTTTAAAAAAAGAGAAGAGGAGAAGTAGCCTGGGTGCCATCCGATCTGTAACGGCTACCCCGAATTTTTTTTTCGGGGTCACAAATCGGATGGCACCCAGGCTAGAGGAGAAGATGGGTAAGTCCCAAGTTACTCAGTGTTGGCCTGAACGTTTAGCCCTTTTGTCATAATGAAGTACTAGTATACCAACTCAGACGAACTTTCAGGCTAAGATGGCTTCTAATAGTATTCATGTTCTATTACCTGAAGTAAGAATCATCCAATGAGTTGTTTGTACAAGATTCTTCTTTAACAGTTGCCTGATGTCTTCTGTTGTCTCCATGGGTTTGTGAAAGGCTGGTCCCAACTTTTCTCCTCTTCTTAGCTACACGATCATCACTACAGTCACTTTCTTCCTCTTCTTCAATTTTCCCATGAGTTTCCTCTGCTGGTAATGACTCTGCCTCTGTGCTCAGTTTTGATATTGTTTGTAAAATCTGAGTCTCTTCTGTATCTCCTGCTGACTTTGTCAAGTTCAACACCAAGTCTTCACCCTGGGAGTCAGTTTTCCTACGCTTTCTCTGCAGACTGGGTGATTGTTTGTTGAACTCGAGATGTTGTTCTTTGTTAAAAATCTGCTGCTCTTCTACGTTTGTCCCGTCCTTCATGTCCTCGTGATTCATCGGTTTGCCAGAAGAATGTGATTTTTCTCTAGGCTGGAAATTAAAAGGAAAAGTAAACCTGGCTGCATATAAGATGTTAGCTTTACAAAGAAATATCATGCAATATTCAACTTTTTTCTTTTATCTGTGGCACGATGACTGGTATTAATGCAAGGTTACGTGTTCCAAAGTGCTGCACCAGAGAATGAAATGTATCGTCTTTTACATTCCAGTTTAGAATTTGGTAACAGAAGACCGCCTTGTTACTAATGGGATCAATATATTGTGCATGTTATTGTTGGCTGAACATTGCTATGATGTAAGGAGGAGTCCACCCGTTTAAAGCCTTGTACTTAGTAAGCTGTAGGCAAAAATTGTTTAGCTTTACATGACTTACATTTCAGGGTTCTAGCTAGGATTTAATTTTAGCGTAGTGGTACTGGCCGCATGTCAAGGGAGCAAAGCGACCGAGCAGGGGGATGGGGCCAGCTTTTAAAAAATTGACGTTAAAAAGGGGCCATTTTAGGGATACCCAAAGGGAAAAAATGTTATTTCTAAGGTATGTACAATGTATCCAATGGTAATTTTTCACATTTGATCTGGCATTCTTGAACAAAGAAATACAGTCACAATGCCCCTATGCTGTATTTAAAATTTAGCATAGGGGGTGAAAATTATAGCGTAGGGGGTGAAAATTATAGCGTAAGGGGCCCCCACACCACTTCGCGCTAGCTAGAACCCTGCATTTATTATAGATCTGTAACATAATGTGTAGCAGAATCTACCTGGACCTGACTTGACGCCATGCTTTGATCAGGGGCATCCTGGCCAATGTTGATTGCTGAATCAGGAAGCCTGCTACTCCCTGCACTAGCCGTGGATGTAGATGCACTGGACTTCTTACCACGTCGTTTCTTATGGGTAATCTTTGAGAAATCATGCTTGGGGCCTTTGTTCCATATGATAGCACGCCGCAGCCCAGACATCCCTAAATTGCACAAACACGTGTTAATTTAGCTTGCCACAAGATTATAGGTCGAAAATCAACTTTTGATCCTACCCTAGTTCCAATCCAGATTTTTCTCGGACCCTCCCTAGTTCCGCAAGGGTACTGAAGTAACGGGTTCCTCACTGGCCGCCCAGTGCGGAACTCACGGGAAAAGTGGCGTCGACACTCGGGGCCCTGTGCAGAAGAAAGCTCCGCACTGGAATTCTAGTGCAGAAACGGCTTTGTTCCAGTGCTGAAACACCGTCAGGGCAGGAATTCCAGAGCTAAATCGTGACTCGGCACTCGTTTTCCAGTGCTAAATTCCACTCAGCACTCGTTTGCCAGAGCTCGGAGGCCGTTCACCACTGGATAGCTAGTGCTGAATTCCACTCGGCACTCGCTACCAGTGCTCGGAGGCCGTTCACCACTGGATAGCAAGTGCCGAAGTCCCTAAGTAACGGGTTCTTCACTGGATCGTTCCAGTGCTTGGTGACTCTTGGTGCTGGAAGCCGAGTTCTCAAATCATTTCGGCACTGGGCCTCTGGTGCTTACGTCGGCCGGCCGCGCGGCGTACAGAACAGTATCTTAGGCCAAGTCTATGTCTGTAAAAATGTGAGGATCTGAGCCTTGCAGTATTGTCCTGCCGATCACCTTGTTGTCCCGATTATAATTTGCTTCCCGGGCGGTACGATCTCGAAAATATAAGTGTTAGAGTTCAAAGGCGGCATCTCGGTACCCTTTCTAAAGACAAGGTTTGATTTGCCGATTTATAGTTTCCAGTGCTGAAGCCGCCGACACTGGGCACCAAGTGTTGACGTAACTTCGGCACTGGAGATCTAGGACGGAAGCCGCTTCACCTCTGTATACCGAGTGCTGAGAAAGGAACCCGTTACTTCGGTACTTTTGCCCTAGTTCCTGGTCCAATAGATTTGCTCAAACCCTCCCCACATCAAATTTTTGTAACCACTCCGGGCATGAATTTGTAAGTTAAATATCATCTTGGCCGTTGCATTTTGATTATCGAAGAAATTATGTATTCGATCTATGGGCTAAGTCCTACCTGTAAAACCAGTTCGTTGTGATGAATATGTTCAGAATCAGAAAGATAATCTCTTGGCATCGACAAGTTCCATACACGTCAGCATAAGCTGGCAAACCGACGGCACAGATCACCGAGGTCAACTGCAGGTCAAGCTATGGTGTCTCCGCCTTCCACTATGTCAGCCAATAGCGTTGTACCATCCCGCATCGCATTCAACCATCCTGTGTAGCTCACCAATGGCAGCGTGGCTCTTTACTCTACTCTTTACCGTGGCTGATAGGACCGCCCTAAAAAAACCCAGAGCGATATCATTATAAACATAATAAATATCGTGCAATATTCAAGTTATCCGTGGTACGGTGACGCCGGTATTGGTGTAAGTTACAAGGCTACGTGTCTAAGATTCTTTTTATCTGTAAATCCGTGCCAACAACTCCGCAAAACGCCCGAAAGAGCAGAAAATCTTGGAAAATCCGACGAAAACATCTGAACTTACCCGCCATGTTGGTGTCAAAGGTCAACCTTCCGTGCAATGTCCCATGATGCCGCGCGCTGCGCAGGCGCAGTACCCCGGTTCCGCCTGGCCCGTGTGATTTCCTGTTCAACATGGTAAGCTTCTTCCCTAAAAACTTTTCTCATTTTTCTTCAAAATTACACACGATTTAACCACTTTTATCACTTAATAGCATGAATAACATGTCCTAGTTTGTGTAGAAATAGTTTCAGAGTGTTTCGTTGTTGTTATGTGGTGAAAAAATCGCTGAAAGTGGTACCCGATCAACCAGTAGCTATCTCATACCTTCACTCGTCCACTAGTTGCCCCTCCCCTAGCCTCCATAGCATGCCAAAAACTGGGGGTTTTGGGGGTCTTCAGGGTCTTTGGGAGCTTTTATGTGCTATTTTCTGATTGCATATAGACAACATAGCCGGCCTGGTTGAATTATCCCCATTTTTAGAACTGGGCTAATCAGAAAACAGCCGAAGACCACCAAACCCCCAGTTCTATAAGCCTGCTACGGAGGCTACCCCTCCCAAAAAAATGGGGCCAACGAAAATTTATCAACTCGTGATCTTTTGGCACTGGAACTTCCTGTCCTATTTTTCATGCTATGAAGTAGTTTTATCACTGCATAAGACACTGTTTAATAGAGACCTTATTTTCTACTAGCTTTGTGTTTTTTCTGTGTAAATTTTAAGGATTTTTGTGTTCACTTGTGAACATGTCAAGAGATATTTTGTGTAGTAAGTAAACAACGTTAGATCTCTCATATGTACTCTATACACGTAGTTACGACTTATATAAGATAGCTGAATGCTGGTGTCTTGTATTTCTGCTAGGGTGGAAACAAAATTGCAAAGAATGCTTTGAACACAGTACTTCTTGATTAGTTCAACAATAGCAGCACACTTTTTATCACATCACTTATGAACTGTCAATCACATACTTGGTGTACTTCAGTGCCTGCAGATTTAAGGATGTTTCATTTTCATTTACTCTTAAATATCCAGAGCAACACACTCAGGTCCTAACTATCCCTCTTGTTCAGGTATCCCTGAGTTTTAAAAACACCAACACCAACACTGACAGCGATGTTCACAATGTGTAGTTGGCTATAATATAATTTTTTTTATAAATGCGAGCTGTAGTGAAACCGTATTGCACTACCGTACTACTACCGGTAGCTACATTTGATTACCTCATTAGTTAAGGATAGTTGAATTTACCTCTACCTTACTTGTCCCCATATATAGTCTGCGACATAAAGGATCCTACCCATAGTGTCCACACAAAATACACTTTATTGGTCCATTCAAATGGTCAATCCTGCCAAAGAAATTGGGCAATCTTTGGCAGGATTGACTGTTTGAATGTATGTTTAATCATGTTATATAATTATAACAGTTATCTTCGACTACCAACTACTATCTTAAAGGAATAATGCGGTTGGTTGTTCCCCCCCCCCCCAGTCTGCGACGTTACGCCCGTACCTGAACGCCGTGCGTTCCACGCTGACGGCAGCCATGTGTCTGGAGAACTTTTCCTCGCAGGTGGTGGAGAGGCACAACAAACCGGAGGTGGAAGTCAGGTGGGTTCAGACCCAGTTATCAAACACCAACTAACACTCACACACACACTCAGGGAAATGACAATCCCCTCATCATATGCAAATGTATTATGATCTGCAAGACCACATTTACTAGTAGACTAATACCTCTGGGAAATATGGTAAAATGGGTGAGAAGTCCCAGTGTGTGTAGTATGATGAACACATACATGTACTGTAGATTATTAAATTTATGGTGCTTGATAGATTCTTTATTTGCAATATTGTATCCGAAGGCTAATTGCTTTTACAGAGAAAAAGGTAGTCCAATACAATAATACTAATAATAGGAAACAGACAACTTAATGATATCCTTGTGTGATATCACATTTTTGCTCAGGAAGCTGATCAGTATATTACATGAACAGATGAACATATACGTGTAGAAGTTAGAAATGGATATTGACTTTTGAGCTGTTGAGTTTGGTCCGTATTTTACTGTGGGTAAAGTCAACACATTATTGATTGGGCAGGGTGAGTTCATTTATTATTGAAGCACATGACTGAGGTCAGAATGAGCAGTGTGAGTCATCAACACTGTGAACTGTACTTCTGTCAGGGAAAATACTTTTAAAAGTGTTACGATATTAGATATATAGAAGTTCAACCATTTGAATTCTTCTTTGAATGTGTGTACATATGTGTGTGTTGTGTGTGTGTATATGTTTGTTTGGCAAGACATCATGCCAAGATGACTTTTAACAAAACAAGTTTAGTTGAATGCAACAGAAGTATGTACATGTACACAGTCTTCTTTGTCATGATCTTTCTTGTGAAACTGTTCATGAAATTCCTCAACAACAGATCTAGAGTTGTGTAAACTTTATGACTCCATTAATAATGGATTATTTGGGGGCCAAACAATAGTTAAAGCTTGTAAACCTGCCATTCTCCTGCAGTCACTATGTGTCTCTGACAAAAGGTAGTGGATGCTACCTGAAGCGTCTGACTGTTTCCAAAATCATATCCAGTTGCTTGAGGAACTGTTTTTTGGCGTATCTTATTACCTGGATGCCTTAAACCTTCACCAATGTATGCATGTTTTTGTTTGAACACATTTCAGGAGTAGCAAAGAGATGTTGACTGTTCTATGATCTTTTTTAAACTGTTTGTGAAATCCCTCTGCATCAGTATTGTGTAAACTAAATGTAACTCCATAATCATGCATGTTTTTGTTTGAACCCATTTCAGGAGTAGCAAAGAGTTGCTGTTGCAGCCGGTAACGATCAGTCGGAACCAGAAGGAGAAAGTTCTCATCGAGGGATCAGTCAACTCTCTCCGCATCTCCATAGCTGTCAAGCAGGTAAGGTCTAGCCTAGGAAAAACCTAGTGTTTCCTGTTTCCCGACTGACCCTAGAAAAAACTGCCAACCCTAGCCTTTTTTGGGGTGGACCCCTACAAGGGACATCAATTTTTGGAGCTGATTGACCTTTCCTAGCTCCATGATCTGACATCTAATTAGTGATAAAATGCTTTACAATCGGTTTTTCAACATTGACATTGAAAATATAAGTGTCCTCATGCGGGTTTTTCTTCGTTAAACCAAGGACATTATACACAGTGTATAATGTCCTTGGTTAAACTGTACTTTGTTAACTAACAGTGTTTGCCAACTAGCAATGTGTATATACATGTACATTGTACCATTGGTTCATTGATTCTTACTAGTGTGTATTTGCAGATATTACTATAACTAGTATAAGCGTGTATTTTGAAAAAAAAAATTATTTCTACCACTGTTCTAATGTATCTTGGATGACTTGTTTGCATTCTGATGAGATTGCTATATAAGTTCATGAGTTTGCAAATGTGTTGTTGAATGAAGATTGTTCTGATGTATCTGTGGTGTTCTGTTTTCAGGCTGATGAGATTGAGAAAATTCTGTGTAACAAGTTCATGGGCTTCATGATGATGCGAGCAGAAAACTTCTTCATCCTCAGAAGAAAACCTGTAGAGGTGAGACTTAGAGACTTGGGTTTATCTAAAAGAAAAAGTATTTTTTAAGAGTGAAATTATTATACATTTATTTTCCTTGTATGCGTGCTTCTGTGTTTCCCCAATTTGTACATGTACAAACATGAGGATGGGACTAGGTAAGGTACAGACAAACCAAAGAAGACCACTCAGGTGACCAATAGAATCTGGTTTATGTGGACAAGTCATTTAAAATGGACAAAAAAAAGGCAGGTTTATATACATGTATAATAAATAAACTTCTTCATCCTCAGAAGAAAACCTGTAGAGGTGAGACTTAAGAGATTGTCTTGTGTTTATCTGAGAAAACTCCTGTTAGTGGGGTAGTGTGGCATAAACAGTAGCGTGTTTGGCTCAGAACCAAGAGGTCCTGGGTTGGAATCCCACCAAGTCACCAACCTTGTGCCCTTGGGAAAGGCACTTTACCCGACTTTCCTTACTTTGCTCAGGTGAAAATGAGTATGCCAGAATGATCATTATCATGATCAGGGGCATTAAAAGAAAAATAAAAGGTGAGACTTAGAGACATGTGTTTGTCTGAGTGAGAAAACTCCAGTAAAGATAAATCTAAAGTTAGTAACATACCCTTTTGAGGTTATAGGGGCAGTTTGTGCACTGTTTCACTTTAAAATGGTCAAGAACCAATGAATTAAATTGGTGTGGCCTGAGGGGCAAACTTCCACACAGAAGTGATGTACAAGCACAAGTTGGTGTTATGTGTAACAAACAAACAAACAAATTGATTTTGATTTCCTTGTTCGATGTTTTTCCCAGGGCTACGATATCAGTTTCTTGATCACAAACTTCCACACGGAGGCCATGTACAAGCACAAGCTGGTGTTATGTGTAACAAACAAACAAACAAACAAACAAACAGTTTAATTTTCCTTGTTTGTTTTATCATGAAAGTTCATCTGTGTTAGTAGTTACATGACTTGTTTAAAGTTAAAACTTTTGGTCCAACACAAAAAGTTCTCTCACCTAGAGCTTTCAACCAGTCACTCTAGTCTTCCTCAATAGACTGACCCAGTGAGACTTCTTTGAAGTGTGACATCAACACTGGGTCAAAGGTATCTGGTAGGCGATGTCGGCCCCCGTTGCACCAAACGTTTTAACTTTAAACTTCCTTGTTTGTTGTTTCTTCCCCAGGGTTACGACATAAGTTTCTTGATCACAAACTTCCACACGGAGGCCATGTACAAGCACAAACTGGTGGACTTCATCATCCACTTCATGGAGGAGATCGACAAGGAAATCAGCGAGATGAAACTCACCGTCAACGCAAGGGCACGTATATGTGCAGAGGAGTTCCTTAAGAATGTGAGTACCAGGGCACGTATATGTGCTGAAAGGTGTGAGTACCAGGGCACGTGTATGTCCTAAAAAATGTGAGTACCAGGGCACGTATATGTGCTAAAAAATGCGAGTACCAGGGCACGTATATGTGCTAAAAAATGCGAGTACCAGGGCACGTATATGTGCTCAAAGATGTGAGTACCAGGGCACATATATGTGCTAAAAATGTGTGAGTACCAGGGCACGTATATGTGCTCAAAAATGTGAGTACCAGGGCACGTATATGTGCTCAAATTGTGAGTACCAGGGCACATATATGTGCAGAGGAGTTCCTTAAAAATGTGAGTTTGCTTGTTTGTTACCTCCATGAAAAAGGGAGGTATTGTTTATGGCGTGTCTGTGTGTGTCTGTGTGTGTGTGTGTTTGTGTTTCCGCACATTTGTAGTCAGTATAACTTCATAACGCCTTTATGGATTGTGATGACATTTGGTATGCTGGTAGGTAGTAGGAAGGCAAAGGCCAAGGTCAATTATGGGCCTCCTGTTGGCTGACCTTGGTACTGCAGCTGAACTTCCGGTTTTTGTATCTTTTGTCCTAACTGTATTTTGTCTCTTGTGTCCACAGTTCTAGTGGAAGTCGCCCATCTCTCTCCCTCACTGCAGGCCAGACAGACGACAGTCGTGTACAAATGAGCACCCAGAGGACTCTCTTTTATACGTTCATGCTAGATCTATAATAGTACATGTATCCGTAAATAATTTCATCAGGTCGAAAGATACTTAGGGTATACAATTTTCTTCTTACACAACCAGTAAAGGTTCTCACCTGCTTACGTTTGGCGATAAATAGTGGCGAGTTGCAGAACTCCAGTCAGAAGCTCTGAGGAAGGTGTCTGATAGACATCGAAACGTAAGCAGGTGAGAACCTTACTGGTTGTGTAAAAAGAAAATTCTATACCCTAAGTACATGTATCTCTGATGCTCTTTCATTGTATTCTGTTGATACTATGAGAAAATTTTTTTTCCATGATATATGGAACAAGTATAATTCTAGTAGAATAGTTCAGATGATGCGCATTTATATCATGCTATATTGGCATGCAGTTTATGTACCATTGGAGTCAAGCGTTCTAAATTTAAAGCTTGGTCACTTGCACCAACTTTGTGACGCTATGTTCGTCATTAGCATTTATTACATTAAAAATGCCCCTCAATTATTGGAAAAGAAGGAAGAATCTATACGCCTTGTCTTCTTGGGTATAAGACCTAAGAAAGACCTTGCCAAGAAAGAGTCATATTTTGCTTTTCAATGATCTTTATTAAGTTTAGCAGCTATAATTGAAGAAAGTTTTCCTGTACTGATGCAACAGTGATGCTTGTTGTGAATACCAGAAGCTGCCATAAGCAGTGCGAAGTTTTAATCATGATTAATGCTAATTAAAAGGAAAAGTAATGGATAGATGAAATAAGAGAATAGATGGAAAAAGGTCTGAATGAAGAAGTTGTCACCAAGAATGGTTCAGACACAAATAATCTTTGGTGCACAGACCTTTGTCATTTTTGATCAAATTCGTCATAGGCCATTTTGCGATTTTGGTACTGTAGAATTTTCAAACTGGCTCAGAACCTACTGAAGCAACAGGATGAAAGACAGCCTTTTCTGTAACAACACAGCTGAATTTTGCAGGACACGTGCATGACTAATCAGGCTTTTAGCTAGGGGGTGTCCAGGGTGTCTTTTGGATGCCCTGTACTGAAAATAGTAAGAAATTGGACGCCCTACTTTTTGGTAGGACACCCTAAAGACGCCCTATTTTTTCCACTTCCAACCCCTGCCATGCACACATGCCTCCTTTCAGAATACAAAAATGATGGTTTACTGAAGGAAAAAAACTCAAATTCCTCAAAATGCAGAAAGTTGTGTTTGAGGGAATTATGAATGTCAAAAAAGCCCCCCTAAAAAGGTCACACACTGTGCGTCTTTGCTGCGTACAATAAAAAAATGGACACCCAACAAAAAAATCATAGTTAAAAGCCTGTGACTAATCCAAGAATGGCCCCATTTTGTGGTTGTACATGTATGAGACTATGACCGTTGTACGACACATTTGACTGTGTCTTTATTCAATGAAAGCCCTCTACAGCAAACTCACAGCCATACAAATGTCCTAGCCTTAGAATAGATGATTCATGCAATTCGATTACAATTTTTGTACATTCCATTATTTTCTTCTGTTATCCCTTTTCTTGCAAGGAAAGTACCCACTTCAAAAGACTATCCTAGTCTTACAAAAGGTACGAAGCTGACGTAGTAGGTGGGGTTAAAAGTCGTTCTAAAGCTCTTAAAATAACAATCCGGTGTAAGAAAGTTCCACTAAGCTGTTAAAGGTAACTGAGGCTAAGGAAAAAATGTTGTGTTTCCGTCCTCTAAAAATTAGGGTTGGTAGGTATAGGAATTCCCTTTTTTTTTCTTTTCTTGTTACAAAGATTTTGGCAGAAGTGATAAAAAAAATACAGTTTTACAATGAAAAACTGGAAAGCATCAGGACTAGGGCTCCAGGACCCGTGTCTGTTGTTCGCTTGTTGGAAGGGGACAAATAGTTCATCCAATTTACCGGTATTAAAAATCTGCCTCTGAAAATGTGCATGAAATAACATTTCAAAGGATTTCAAATAAAACAAAAAAATTATGGCCTTGCCAGCGGTCATCCCAAAAAATGCAAGTTTTGGCAGGATTTTGCTAAGATTGGTCAGGAAACTGGAAACGCAACAATTTTTTGTGAGGTCTGATTAAAATGCAGAAGGTAATAAAAAGTGTCATTGATGATTTGGTAGCTAAACGTTAAGTAGTAGAGCGGCATATTGGATATTATATTTTTACTCTGAGATTCTGAATAAACAGGAATGCCTGTGATTACATGAAACTGCATCTCAAATGTATTTCTTCTCATTTTCTCTACTACAGCTTTTACAATGGCCAAGGCAGTGTCCCTTTCACAAGCTGTCTACGAGTACATGCATGTTACCTTATCTTAGTACTCTCCAAGCAGAGGTTGATGGGGCAAGATTGCTACCTTTTTTATATATGGCCCATTTTTTGGTGGTGGTGGGGTGGGGGTGGGGGGTTGGTCGCTACCCCCACTTGGGTGGCATATTGTACCCTCTCTGGCCAATGGATACTGCCAGGTCAATTTGATACTGTCTTTTGCCACCCTAGGATCTGCTTGGAGATTAGCACCTTAGCTCCTCCTGTGACTAGTCATTTAAGGCACATGCATTGTATGTATGTATTGGGATACACAAAAAGCTTTTCTAAGAATTGCAGTGTTTTGCCATGCAGAGCACACCAACATTGTTGTTCATCCTTATTCCCCATGCAAGCAAATGTCAGCAAGGTAAACTATCTTTGTGTTTAAGAAAACTCCAGTGTCAGCTGTTGTTGCTGATGGCACACCCCTTGGCTCCTTTACTGAGGAGGTATGATCAGGAGCGGTTCGTCACATGCAGACCTGGCGATAGAAGACAAGACACAACTACATGTTTGATACATTTGTAAATAAATACATACCACGCTAGCCTCTTTTACAAACTTTCTAGTGGCCTCTCTCTCTTCACCGGGAGAGCTGTATTGGAGGTCTTTCCAAGAGGATACAGCTGTCCTACCCTGATAATACCCTCCCACTGACACAAACACACACCGCTACCAGCGGGCTAGCCCCCTGCTGTAGTACTTGCATAACTGTGTGGCCCAAGAGCTACAGAGATGGGCGCCACCCCTATGCTCTGCAATAGAGTGGAACGGGACCGTTTTTAATACAGCTCTCCCAGCGAAAAAAAGCTGCCAGGTCCATAGAAACAAACAGGCTGCTGGAAATGTCCGTACAGGAGGCTAGATTTTCACACAACCAATGGATCAACATTGTACACACAACATGTCTGGAATTCTGCATGTGTTTTTCTTTCACATGGTGGATATTCAATACAGCTGTGAAGGCAAAGACTAACTAGAAAGGTCTGCTCTGCTCTGTTAATTCTTAGTCAAATACATTCGTATTTGGTGACAGGAGTCTAAATCCCTCCTACTATAAAATTGCAACATGATGTAACCCAACACTAGTTACCATGGTGAGAGACAGTCTGGTCATTGACCAGGTCAGAGGTCAGTGTTTGGAACAGAAGAAGAAGAAGAAACGTTAAACATAAAGATTGCAACATACTTGAAGAAGTTGACCTCCCCGTACATGCACTTGCGGTAGATCTGATTGGCCTTCTCCTCGTTGATAAGCCCGGAGAGGCTGCATCCGTCCACGACTTCTTCAACTTCCTCCGCACTTTTGTAACTGCCGTTGTCCTCAATCCAGAACTTGTAAATGTTGGATTCCTGTCGAGAAACAGTTGAAATTCTGATGGCCTCCTGTGCAGGCCTCCGGGTGGGTGGGAGTTTTGATACTGCGTCCTTTTGCTGGCCATACTACAACCCGCATGGGTACAGACCTTCTCTGGGAGGCTAGTTGTAGGATTGCCGACAAAAGAAACTGGAGGCCTGCACAGGAGGCTAACAAAAATTCTGAGAATATGCAATACAAAGTGTCTATAATCTTTTACCAGCTTACTACCGGTAATTCTTAGTACGTTCCTTCTCACTCCAACCAAGGAGCTTTTAGGGAGACTAAAACCTCCTTGCTCCAACTTGTACATCTGAACTACAAATTGTATAAGTTAAAGCTTTATTAAAACCAGCTGAAAATTAGGTCTAGGAGAATTAAAGTAAAATTGGAAAGCACCTGTTACAGCACCAGGGCTGTCTACTAGATCTGTCTCCCTGCTTGCTTGTGGGGAAGTGACAAACATTTCACCCAGTTTACTTTTTAAAAAAACTGCTTTTGATGATGTGTAAAATTACGTTTTAGATGGGTTGAAATTCAGATGGATGATTTTATGTCCCTTGGCAAAAAAGGGCTAGGGTCTCTATGTTTTGCTGCTGTCTGTAGTAAAACCAGAACCACAACATACCTTGTCGTAACCACCTTTCTCCATCATTTTAGCCAGGTAGGGCCACAGTCGAAGACATGGAATCATGGACACCAGATAGTACAGGGCCTCCTCGTTGTGCGCTATCTCGTGCTCCAAATCCACGTACGCCTGAGCAGCCGGACCGAGGTCTGCACCATCTGGCTGTTAAACAACAAGCAGGAATTAGTGCAAAAATCATATCAGATCTGAAAAGAACTTGAATGTAACATTTCAAAGCAAATGCAAATTACCTTCACATAATCTAGCCTAACAAACTACGTACTGCTCTGTCTTTTCTTACTCAAACCAAGGCTTTCTCGAACACATTCATATGGTGACCAGGCCCTCTTGCTCTGTCCTGCTACATAATGTAACCCAACACCACAGGGTGTCTGCAAGAGCACTAGTTACCATGGTGACAAACGTCTAACCCAGGACATTGGAGACTTAATTTGTTGGAAGAAGAAGACGAAATAGAGCAAAAACAATATGTTTTCCTTCTGTGAAGGTAAACATAGTATGTTTTGGGAAAGCGAACAATGAAATATTAAACTAGATAGTGACAAAGGTCAACTGGAATTTTTCAAATCAAGTCCTTTTCTCAGCTTGCTGTACTTGATATCTACAAGTTAATCTTACCTTGAGAAACCAGCTTTCATACAGCTCCTGTGTGTAACCCTTGTAGCCCTCGTACTGGCCCTTGAAGAACTCTTCAAGGGGAGCTCCCTGAACCTTGTCTGTAAGGAACTGGAGGTTGTCAGTGGCGGCGTTGCAGTATGCGGCATCCTGAACCGTGTACTGGCCATAGTCATTTGGGTCGAGGTTTCCATGTGCGATGCCCTGAAATGCGATACAAAGTATTGCGAATACTTCGTGAATAATTTCATCAGGTTGACAAGAGACTACTAGTATGTAAGAAGGTTCTTTATTGAACAACCTGTGAGTTTTCACATCAGACATCCTGCCGACCTTCTTTATAGCAACAATGGCACCTCATTAATATCATTGCCATGAACAAGGTGACAGACGGTCATCGTCTGTAAAGACCCACCGGTTGTCTAATAACGAACCTTCTCTCTCTCTCTCTCTCTCTCTCTCTCTCTCTCTCTCTCTCACGAAGAGAAAAAAAAAGCATCATTATTACGCACATGCCAGTGTACTTACCTGGATGAACTTCGTATCCCATGCTGCGTCGACCAGGTCCAAATTCTGGTCCCACAGACGCTCACTCAGGGTTTTCTCATCGGCAACTCGCTGTTGGGCAGTGGCTCGCAGTACGTCGGGGCTGTCGACTTCGTCTTTCTTACCCGCCTTCTGGAAGGCTATAGTCGCTTGCAGGAAGGCCTTCAGGACCCGAGGGTTTGCCAGCCTGTTCCTTGGGCTCTGCACATTGTATCTGCTCCTGTAGTTTTGTCGTAAGAAACATCTACATTAGCATGTTTAAAGTTAAAACTTTCGGTCCAACACAAAAAGTTCGAGCTTTCGATCAGTCACTCTGGTCTTCTTCAGTAGATTGACCCAGTGAGGCTTGTCACGTGGCTCTACATTAGCAGTTGGTGGACTGATTCTAATTGTCGACGAATGTGTCAAACTGCGGGCTGAGCACTTTTCCATCTAATAGTTTATCATGCACAGTCTGCACGCAGACATTTACGTATACCTTAAAGCATACTCTTTTCATTCGACTGAAAACTGAACATTTACAAATGCTTCAGATATGCTTAAATAAAATGCAGTAATAAATGTCACCCAGTGAGGTTGTTTGGCGTAGCGGAAGAGTGTTCGACTCGGAACCAAGAGGTCCCGAGTTCGATTCGAGTCCTGACATGCCACCGATCTTGTGCCCTTGGGTGAAAATGATTATTGTATTGTCCCGTGTTGGTGGCGGCATTAAAATAAGTTGAAGAAACTTGAGTGTGCCGTCACCACGTCTTGTGATTACGTATTGGATTATAAAAAAAGTGTGTGGCAACAGTCAATGCAATTATTTTAATAATTTGAAATCGGTCTATTACACCTTTCCACGCACAACATAGCACGAGCAGGAATGGACCAAGCAGCTTTTGTATAAAGTATATGTATATATATATGTATATACTAACCTTTTGGTTGATGTGGCCATCGCAGTCTCCAAGTTCAACTGTCCCCCAAGCTGCTTTTGTTTTTATACTGAAGGAGTCGATTACTGTTAGTAAAAAGGACAAGCAGTAAACGAAATGCCAGTAAAGTCGACCGGACGTGATTTTTATTAATGCCTGTGGCAACATTGTATGACCCAAAACAGTAAAAGGGGTGATATTGTCTATTGTTACGTCAAATAAACAAATAAACAAACGTGGCATAAGGAATGATTGGTTCCGTAACCGGCCATGTTGATTTGATGACTTAGTATATGGATGACATCCGCGCGCACATGAATTTTCACGATTTTTCTTTAAAAGATGGACTGATAATCGTATAATCGTAGAAATACTGCTGACTTTGTCATTGAATAAAAAGTTATGTCTGAATTTTCCTTTGAAATCCTCTGTAAAACGCAGGAAGTGCCATTTTAGAAGGG